GCTTTAAAATATAAAAAGAAGCCAGCTTTTACGTTGTATTTGTTAAGCCTCAAGGATACACACAGTGAGCTTTGATGAGAAAAGCTGGATGTGCATTTGCAGCCTACAAGGATCCTTGAATTCATACTACTACATTTTTTGTATTCAGTCTTTTTGTGTGCCTGGTGGTGTGTTTGCATGTGTGGCTCCTCTCACAGGCTGATGGATGGTGCTGAGGAGGGCTATGAAGCTGGTTGAAAGCTTCTCAGTAGCAGGGTAAATGATTAGGCTGTGCTCAGCCACAATATTCACATTACTTCAGTGTCTGCAGGGCCGGATGGGGATCGATACTCTATTACTCTTCCATCTGAGCCAATCCCGGCATGGCGGGCCACCACAGGGAGCCCTCGCCGCTGCTCAGACTCCACCAATCAATGCTTTTGCGGATAGGGGTAAAAAAAAAAAAAGTGATTAGAGATCTTAACTCTGGCACAGGTTAGACAGACATCCAAACATCGCTTCACACAGTTGTACCGACTTGCACGTACAAAGACACGTTTCAGACAGGAAGTGCTTCAGCGCTGGTCTTTGTAAGGTGAGAGGGGCTGTTGGTAGAGACTGCAGGCCCCCAGGGAGCACTGCAGTGGCCTCTGCTTCTGATTAAAAGTTTGCTTTTGCAGCAATCAGCTTTGCAGAGTCAGCAAATTACTGACCTTGGTTGTGTCCTGCGTGTGTGTGTGCGCGCTTTTGTTTCCCACACTTGTACATACACTATATTGTGTATATGCTGTGATCTGCTTTTATACACATACTAGAGCTCTGATTCTCTGTCTGAGCCCGACTGGGCCCGATGCGACCCACCAGGTTTGAGCCAGGTCAGGCTGTAATTTTTCATTATTCCCCCAGGTTTGAATCGGGTCAGGTTCTCACCAATTTACTTGTTTTTTTTTTAGTTTTAGTTTTTTTTCTTTGTTTTTTTTTTAAAAATGAAAATGGCGGTTCTCGTGCATATATGCCAGGAGACTTAATGGAGTGAATCAAGAGGGAAAGAGAGAGAAAGAGGCGAGACTGCGACCGAGGGAGGGAAAGTGACGGAACATCAGAGTAATAGTAGAGAGAGAGAGAGAGAAGGGGAACTACAGGGCAACTCAGTCGGCAGTGTTTGCCTCTGCCTCCCTAGCAGTGGGAGAGATGTGTGTTAACATGCAGCGAAGAGCGGTGATCATCATTTACGTGCCGCATCGCCATGGACTGTTGGACAGCCACGGACCAAGGGGCAAAGCACGCTTTGCAAAACCTGTTGTGCACAAAAGGACAGACTATTGACATAACAGAAGTTTTCATTCCTTCTTTTAAATTTTTACTTTTCTTCTATAAAATGTTTTATTCTAATCAATGGGTTTGGCTGTGTACACACTGGAGTGGGTGTCTATGCTGTTTTCTTCTTATATTTATGTAGTTTTTTTTAATATAATATGTACAAATGTTTATTACAGCTGGGAAAAAAGGTAAATTATACACTGTATTGTTGTTGATGGAAACTAAAAAAAATTTAAGTTAAAAAAAATAAATAGCAGAAGGAGGAGGAAAAGGACAAGTGGTGTGTGGAAACACAACAGCCCTTAGCTTGTAATTATTGTTGTAATATTAAAAAATATACTATATTATAAATATAATATATAGGCTACATGTTTTTTGCAGTACAGTTTGGGTTTTAAGCCAAATTGGGTTTTAGATTTGGGTTTTTAATCAGGCTTGGGTCCAAAACAGCTGCTGTGGGTTGGGCTTGAGCCGGGTTTAGGTCGCGCTCAGACAGAAACTGTGAAACAGTGGTTAGCATTTTCGCCTCATTGCAAGAGAGTTAGCCAGGGTGGGGGGTTCGAACCCAAGGTGGGGGAGCCCCTTCGTGTGGAGTCTGCATGTTCTTCCTGAGTCAGCGTTGGTTTTCCCCGGGTACTGCAGCTTCCTCCCACAGTCCAAAGACATGCAGGTTAATTGGTGACTCTAAATAGTCCATAGGTTACGGAAAATGAGTGAATTTAGGGTTGGGCCTGATCAGAGCTCAAACACATATTAGCTCATACCATTACTGATGTTTGTGGTCAAAGCAGGATGGGGGTGCTGACACTCAGCTTTCACAGGTCTAACACATACAGACAAACACATTCACACTCACATTCACAAGGGAAATATCTGAATTCTCTACTTCACTTCACCTGCATGTCTTTGCAGTGTGGGAGGAAACAGTTGTCCGGGAACCAGACAAATCTGGGAGCTCATTTTTTATTTCCTCTGGCAGATGTGTCTGGTCCCCCTCTGCTTTGGACAGATTTCCAGCGGCCTGAGATGTGCCCGGCCAATCACAACCATTTATCTCACATGGTGTGTGTTTGAGATGGATTTGTCTGGATTTTAAATGAAACTTTACAACTGTAAAAGATGTCGAAAACATTCTCAAGCGACATGTCGTCAAATTGATCCAGACTTTCCAGTTTTTAATAAAACGGCAGCTGTCCACGTTGTCCCGCTGCATCCATCTTTCTCCACCTTTTACTTTTCTAACCCTAGTTGAGTGCTGCAAGTGTGTAAAGATAAAGAGCTGTTAAGTGGTGCTGTGCTTTCCGCTGTCTGTTGAGTAATGGCCGTGGTGCCCATCGACCCGCCAGTCCCATAAAGCAGAGAGCAGAAAACAGACAGACTGTTCACACCCAGGCCACTGCCAGCAAAGATCTGCAGAGTGTAGTAAAAATTAAGTTGTTCTGTATTTTATATTGGGCCAGGTGTTAACCTTTTATATTAAAAATCAGATATCGGCCTGTCGCTGAAATAATAGATATGATGCAGTTTGATTTTATTTAATATTTATTCATTAGTTTGTGATGTGACATTGACCTCAGATACTGTAGCATGTAAGAATGTATGAATTTAAGTTTTACTTTGTACTATGAAGTGATGATCTAATTAATATTTCTTGACTGAGTAATCACAAATTTCTCTTCTACTAGTTATGATTTTATACAGAACTTTATAAATTTGAGTTAGTCTCACTTATTTCTCAAGGGTGTTAATAAATAAAACATTTTTTTGGACATGTTCTTTGACCACTGTCCAAGTTTCAGGCCTCTGGGTGGGCGCTTCCCATGGCAACAGTTGACTATGACACAAGCGGTCAACTTCCGAGGTGGGCTCGTGACTGGAGCAAGTTATCGCCCAATAAATGAACCCTATTTACCACAGCTTTATATTTGTATTTTATTAAATTTTTACTGCACTATTTATTGCCTTTATGTCTTGGATTCTAATTAGGTTTTACTTACATAATTTTATTTTTTTATACATATTTGAATGAGCACTGTTGAAGGGAGCCTGAGACCTAAGAATTTAATTGCCAATTGCAACCAGACTGTAGACATCATAGAAAGGAGCACTTTGCACTTAATTTCTGTGATTTTGTTGCATTAATATAAATAAAACTTAAATGTTTTGTAAGTAAAATTTTGACCCAATAATTTCAACACAACTTTAATCTTTAAACTTTACAAGGTTCCTACGGCCATTAAATTCCCGGAAAAGTACTTTATATTAAATATTTTTCTAATTCTGATGTATATTTTTTTGTATTTAGTGTTTATTCTATTAGTATTCTTTTTCCATTCAACATGCTTTTCTATCTGTGCCATTTGAGCTGCTGTAACATGTGAATTTCCCCGGTGTGGGATCAATAAAGTTTTATCTTATCTTATCTTATCTTATCTGAAAAGCTATGACAGTAGCACTGCACTGTGTGACCATTTAAATGTTACTAGTGTCACTTTGTACACATTGATCTTTGCAGCTAGTTAGTGGCGAGAATGTCTAACAAGAAGAGTTAGAAGTGCCAGTGGTTTGCTTATCTGCAACTGGCTGAGAAGTTATTGTTTAGTAATATGTGGCTTTAAAACAGCTAATATAACTCATGGCTCGAGAGAGGCAAACTCTAGTCACGTTGGGAGTGGGCTCTGCACCAAACGTTTGTCGTTTGCAACATGTGGGAAGCAACTCTGGTCAGCCACCCAACAAAATGCCCATACGTTCAGCACATACGTAACGCCTGCTGTAGCCAGGTCAGATAACATTACTGCTTCTACCAGCATGGCAAGCATCGATATAGATAGAAGACAACCTCAACTGAAGCTCAACCCATCCATTGCTGTTTCCAATGATCTGCATACCTGTTTTATACTACAAAAATAAAGTGGTTTTATACTGTATATTTTGAGATACTAAGTTCATTTTGATTTTTGGGGTGGTACAAATGATTCTCATGGTTTTGGCAAACCTTCCCACGTTTGTGACATTTATGCTGAAGTGTGTCCATTGTGTGTAGACAAGAGTGGAGGACAGCGTGTCTCTCTGTAAATGGCCAGTGTCGACACAGCCTGTAGTATTCATCCCACACATTATCACAGGAACCACAGGATATTTGTGTGTGTGTGTGTGTGTGTGTGTGTGTGTGTGTGTGTTTGTGTGTGTGTGTGTGTTTTGTGTGGATGTGGATAAGTGTACGTGAGTCCTGAACAGAGCGAGCAGCTCACTGAGCACCGTGTTGCTGGCTGTGATAGAGGTTCGTCTGTACACATTGTGGCAGAAAATGGACCTCCACACAGCAGCCACAGGAAATGTGATTTCATAAATGCACGCAGCCCTCCCACACTTGGGCAGAAGATCGTGAATATGATACGTGGGTGCATCAGGACAGATGGTCTTTTTCTGATTCATGAATTTGCCTCGATAACCCATTTACGCTCCTCTATGTCTTGTACCGTGCACCGTACACACAGTTTGTGAAACGTAAACCATATTTCAGAGGTGTTTTTATCCTGCAAAGAATATTTATATATTTCCCTCACTAAAATTATTAAACTTTTCACGTCTTCAATCCTAAAAAGTGTAAAGCCTCATCTTGACTGTAAAATTTGTAAGTGTTGAACCTCAAAGCTGCCGCACACTAAACTCTTCTTTGTCTGTCCTCGGGAGTGTAGGAGCTGTGTGAAGACCCTCACCTGTTTGTAGATGGCATCAGCGCACATGATTTACATCAGGGACAGCTGGGGAACTGCTGGTTCGTAGCGGCATGCTCCAGTCTGGCCTCCAGAGAGTCTCTGTGGCAAAAAGTAAGTCTGTGTATTTCTGTGCGTGTATCTGTGTCTTTGTCTGTTGTATTTCCCCTCTTTTTGTTTGGCATTGTCTTTGTTTTTGAGCACCATACCAATGTGTTTAGTAAATCTCATAGTCTGGGTGTATCTGAGGTCAAGCACCTGCCGATCACTACGTCTGTTATTGTAAAATTTTCACAACGCGGAGAAGTACTTTTAAGGAAACGGTTTTAATAAATAGTGTAGAGGAAATAGAAGTAGAAGTAGTTTGAGAGTAATTCTTATTTGCATTTTTTTCTGAGAGTGAGACAGTTAAAACAATATCAATTTCAAGTCTGTGATTTTATTAACTGAGCTGGAGACAGGACGTGGTTAGCCTATAACTTAGCATTCAGACTGGTAGCGGGGAAGCGGCTTGCCCAGCTCTCTCCAGAGTGAAAACGAATGCCTACCTGCAAATCTAATGTTCGCTAACACATATGTTGTTTAATCTGCACACAAAGCATAATTTTCCTCATATCATGCAGCCTTACTAGGAAGGACAAATGCCAGTCTGACATACCACAAAAACTTTAGGCAGGGGTCAGCCACAGATACTCAATTACTTAATAGCCCCTTTTACGCAACCTCTTCAAAAATGGAATTTCAGGCCATTATGCCGCCTCTATATATAAGGTACAATCGCACAATCAATGGATAGAGTTGTTTTGCCTTTAAGGCGGCATTTGAGGTAGTAAAAGCGCCGAAACGATGTCTGTTTAAAAAGAACAGCCGGCAGGACAGGACTGTGGGCGGCAAGGGTGTGATGTTTTGTCAACTTGTTATGTGTGCAACCCACCATGGACGATTTAAAACGTAGCTGACAGCAGTTAGCAGTTAGTGGCTAACTCAAAGAAGAAGAAGAACAGTGACCGAAAAATGTCCACAAACTGGGCAAACAGTGAGGTCCAGGAGCTCTTAGCCCTCTGAGCAGATGATGAGATCAGCCGCCATATAACAGGGACAGTAAATTAGTGTTATTGCCATGTTATGTCATTGTTGTTGTTGTTTATAAAACGCTGCTGGTGCGTATATTATATGTCACACTACAGGAAGACGCTATTGTGTTACATGTCACGCCTGTCATGCCTCTTTGAATCCGCAGTGCTGGCATGCTGCCTTCATAGCATCCCTATAGCGCGATCTCTTAGTAAAATTGGCTGTTGCCATGCTACAGTCAACTTTCTGTTGATTGAACTATTTGAAAATTAAACTAATTAAGCTACTTATTAAAAAAGGAGTCAACACTTTTACAAACAAAGCCATTTCTAATAGACAGTTAGTGGTAAAGAGTTTGTTTCCTGCACAAAAGCCTCTTTGGAAAAAGGAACTTCCTATGCACTCAATTGTAGTTACTCCATATTTTGTGTTTAAGCGTCCATTAGGAACCATTATGATAAGAAGTAAACACCAGAGAACTCATTACAGCACCACAATGCTGCCTTGGTCTCAGCAGACTCCATCAGTCAGTAGAAGCCTGATTGGTGGAGTCTTAAAGTGGCGTCTCCCTGGACAGGCTGGAAGCACTAATGCTAGATGGATGTCCTGGCTTCTGTCAATACTGAATGTGTTTTTATTAGTGTCTTGTTTTGTTTTTTTTTTATTTCACGTGGCTAACCAGCAGGGGAGTGTCAACAAGATTTTAGTGCTAGCAAGGGCAGGCTCAGTATATTTGAATGAATGAAGGAATAGACAGATCAATGGATGGATAGATACAGTCGTTCTGCAAACTACAGTTAAAGGTGCATCAGAGATCAAATCAACCCTTAATTCCTTAATTTATCTGGCTGTGGTTTCAGAGATTCAGTGTCTTCTGATATAAATGCTGTTTGAAGCCTTTCACATGCTGATTAGAATAAATGTGTAAACTTTTCCATGAAGATTGGCACCACAAATCCACCTTTCAGTCCAAGACTGGTGTCATATCAACAAAAAGAATTATATAATTCTAGCTGTAGTGAGCTCTGGAGTTTAGGGTGTCAGGATTATTCTGAAATGTTCTTTGGCATCCATCTTGACAGAGGAAACAAAGTGATTACCGAGGTTTAATGGGATTTGAAACAAGATGCCTTGGCCTGTTGTACCGAGACGCTGGTTCTTGACAGTCTCAGAGAGAGTGTGTACATATGGCCATGCTTGCACAGTATCTTCCCCTCTGTTTACCCTCTGTTTCTCTCGCTCTGTTCCATCGTACAAACACACACAGTCATCGTCCAACTGCATACCCAATGAGCAGGATATTTACTGCTTAAATCCATTTTTTCTGCCTCCTTAGTTGAGGATTTTATTATATTTTCTTTTTTGTTTTTGGGGGGAGGGATGGCACCCCCTGTCATTTGCTTTATTGTCAGGTTAAGTCAATTTTGTGCTCAGTACCTTTAAGGTATCAACTGAGTCCGTATCAATAATGCCTTCATTTAAATGGTACCTGCATTTGATCCTTTTTGTACCTAGATCTAGAAAAAAGACTATTTTATGGTTCTTCTCGCAGCCAATCACAGCAACTGTTGATATGAGTGATTGGCCCACTACCGGGTGCAGCTGTGGTACTCCTACGCCACACAGAATATACATTTTTAGCGTGTAGGCTGCTATCATGGAGGTTATTGTTTCACGCTAAAACAAAGTGTACAGATATGTCTGGCTATGCAAGACTAGTTTTACATAGCAATGACAGTAGGAGGCGTGTTACTGCCTGAAATAGGCGGCCAATGACAAGTTTATACCCTCAGTCTAAATCCTGTGATCCAATGACGTCATTTTATTAGCTGGAGGCAAAACATGACTTTCCACCACAGGGCTGTAGGCTTCGTAGGAGTCCTAAAATGTCGTCTTGTGTCATTGGGAGCCAGAATAGAAAGAATTCATGCTCAAAACTTGAATTTTATCGCATACCAGCCTTCCCTGCCCGTCAATAAAAAAGATGGTTAAATGCAATAAGACAAAAGGATTTGACATGACATAGCATAAAATGCTCACATGTGCAGCGCACACTTCGTGTCAGGTTAGAGAAAAAGTATTTCCTGTAGGGATGAATAACATAATGTGTATCAAGGGTTATCATTTCCACCTCATCAGAAACTGGGGAGGGATTAAGAGGAATATTGGATTTCTCTGAAACGCTAACTTTTTAGCGCGTTAGCTAACATTAGCTTCGATAGCAAAACAAAATGGAGGAAACCATTGAAGTATCTTCCTCCTTTGTAAGACTGACATAGTAATCAACTACAAAGCTTCCTGTGACATCATCCATCCACTGAGTGAGAGCATACGGGTCGGCCAGTCTGGTCCCGTCGGTCAGTGTTTACTTATTCAAGTAACACTGGCGGTCCCGGAGAGTGAGTGACCTGACATGGTGCGTTCATAGATTCAGTCTGGCGCTCTACACTAAAATGAGAGCCCTGTAGGTCTAAGAAACTGAGTGTTATATTTCTACATGAATTAACAAACGGTTAAGTTGATCACACATTCACTCCACTCAGTGCTCTGCTGCTCCGTCTCCACAGACAGAGTGCCCAGAGTTCACTCCGCCACTCAGAGAGTGCGGTGGTCTGAATAACCGAACAGTACATCCTAACAGGGCTCTGAATGTACGAACAGTCCAGTTTGTGCCAGAGTGCGCTCCGACACTCAGAATGAATATTTCCGAACGCACTCTATTCAGAGAGACTCACATCATCTTCCTCCATTGTCTAAAACAAGCCAACATAACTTGCTATCTAGTGCTAGCTAATGTCTGTGGAGAATTGTTTTGCCTCCAGCTAAGCCCCGCCCACCAAAAACATCATACTGTTTACTAACAGTAAAAGGGTTTATACAGATTAAACAAGATTCCAATTTAACAGACGGATATGAGAGTGGTTTTCTCATCTAACTCTCAACCAGAAAGCAAATAAGCGTATTTCCCAAACTTTGGTTTCAATGCGAAACAATTGCAGCCTTGTTTGAAAAATATGAATTAATCAATCTAAATTAAAAAGAGTAGGGAGAAATCCAAACTGACCACAGCTGATGAAATTAGACCTCTTATCTGAAGTCCGTTTGTTAGATCTAAACAATAGTGGAGGTCTGTTTGTAAAAGCAGCCTTTGTGCAGAGATGTTCATCTGTTCAGTCTCTCGTGTTGGCCACCAGCTTTATTTCCTATTCCCATTAAAGCAAAACAAGTAATGGTCCAAATCTCACAGGAGCAGATACTGTTCCCCAGTGAAAGCTGAGTGCTGCTACTTCAAAACATTGTTATTTTGTATTGCTTTTGTACATGTTAATTACCTGCAAAGACAGTCAGACTTTAAAGTTCTATAGAGCTGTTGCATCTTCTCATTTGCCTTCATTATATCCTTGTAATTACTCAACACAGTATAATGTTTAAATGTTAGCATGGTATTTCTGTTTATCATCACTTATTAATAACTTAATAAAGACTCGATTAAAAAGCTAGTCCATTTGTTCAACTCTTTCCTATCAAAGGATGACAGGCAAAAGGACACATACTGTACCAATGAGGACACTCAATAATAATTTACATTAATGCATTCAAGGCTGCAGGCGAGATCAATTCAATTGAGACTCCTGCAGCCGTAGACTTTTTTTTTCTGTCAGAGAACGGTTCAGGTGGCAAGTTAGTTACATGCTTTCTAGCAACAAGAATCGAGTGTAATACCTCCTGACATCTCAGTTATTTTCTTTTCTCTCACACCTCATCTGACACGCGTTCTCTCATTCACAGTCACAGTTACTGCTTCATCTCCCGCTGCAGTGTAAAGCAGCGAGAATTCATCAGGAGAAAGAGGCCTAGAGCTGAAATCCACATGCCTCCCCTCTCTCTTGTTTGTCAGGTTCACCATGCAAGACGGAGACGGATGAGGCAGCAGGAACTGGGGAATACACGAGCACATACACACAAATACACACTGTCTCTATCCATTATCTCACATGGGACTCATTTCTACCAAACCCATCAGGGCTGGCTGTTTGTCAAAGAGGAGGAGAGGGGGAATAACATTTTTGCTCAACATTCAAAGCCCATAGAACTTTCTGTGTTCGGACACTGGTTAAAAAAATGCAGATACGCCTTTTTGATTCATTTGATTTATTTGTATTTGGTCGTATTTTTGCCAAACATCAAAGGATACAAAGGCACTTATGATCAACAGGTTCAGTAACAAGCAAGTTTTTTAAATGAGTTCTGTTGCAAAAGGAGGAAAAGAGGGATGGAGTGCAGTCCTGTCCTTACAGGTTGTCAGATGATGTCATATGCTGCAGCCATCCATACAAATAAAATGCAGGGTTAACCTTAAATTAACGTCTTCAACTAAACACACACAAGCACAGAAGAAGAGTTTGAAGTGAGTATGTCTCCAATTTTTTGAAGTCTCAACTATCCACTATGAAGGTGATGGAGCAGTCGACAGTCTCAGGGCTGCAGCCTTCTGCAAACGCAAACAGGAAGTACATCACCTTCCTTACCTTAGCAAGCTCAGCGATCCTCTCGCCAAACTCATGTGCATCAGCCTCGTAGCACTGGATGGGGGCGTCGCTGGCGTCGCCTACCCCCCTCCAGAAAACCCCAGCAGGCTCCAGCAGCTGACGTGTCATCAGGTTGGTGAGGTCAGGTGTCCAGAGCTGCGAGGTGGCTGTAATGGTGAGGCGTCCCACCTGGGCCAGCCGCACCGTCCACCGTGAGAATCGGAGGGACTGTTTGGAGAAGTCCAGTCGATACACGGCCTCGTTGGGCAGCAGCAGGCGTTCACCGTCCTGCCTCTTCTGGCCTCGCTGCTGCAGAGACTGAACCCGCAGGCGCATCACCTCCGTCAGCTGGGTGTCCGGCCGGAAGGGCAGCTCCAACTCTGTAGACATGCTTGGACGGCACACTGCAGCAGGCTGACAGGTCGATACCAACTGCAAGGCTGGATTAGATTGGCAGTTACGTCGAGACTAAGCTTCTTCACTGTCTCTGTGTCCAGTAACTCTTACTCTGCGCTCCCGCCTGCAAGCTTGTGCAGAGTGCATGTGTTCACATCTGTGTAGCATCAATAGGAGAGGGTGGGTCTCACACAGAGGTACACATGAGCAGAGGTGCTAGGCAACAAGATCTAATGACATTTGCAACCCAAGCACAGGGTTTGCCCTCAGGGAACTGTGCTTAGTTCTGTTAGTTACTCATTTGTATGTCCTGGTTTTTGCTTGGCTACAAACCCTTTACTCTGATACCTGAGGTGGAAGTCAGTCATGAAGTCAGCATGAATCTAAACATCAAAACAGTTTTGTAAGAGCAAGTTAGGTCTTTTTATGTCAGAGCTGGATATTATCAGTTGAGGAGGAGGAAGAAGGAGTGAGGGAAAAGCCTCTTTATTCCCCATGGTGTGTGTATTGATAGACAGCGGGGGAAGCCACGGTGCCTTCTGCTTGTGTTTCTGGTCAGTCGTCAGGTCACTTACCTACCAGAGTTCAGTTGCTGCATAGCGACACTTGGCCCAGATGAAAGCTGAGATAGATAGAGCCTTCGCTCTCGCACTATCCACAGTGCAGAGTCAGGGAGTAAGCAATAGCAGGGTGGAGTGCAAGAGAGATTGCCTCCCGAAGGATTACAAAATGACTCTGAGGTTTCTGTGGTGCAGTGCTTTGTTTTTTTTTCCTGACCCCCCTCCTCCTGGTTTTAAAGGAGCTGTTACTGCTTTACAGAGCCGGTCCTCTGGAGAGGCCAGATTCTCCCCATCAGCACAGTGTCACCTCCTGTAGAGAGGTTTGACAGGAACTGCTGTTCAGTTAGCGCACCTTGACATCTCCAAGGACACCCGCTGGAACACTGTCACTTAATTCACATGTGGTGTCGCTCACTGCATCATTTGCAGTTTTTGTTGCATGCCATATTCCTACTGGTAGAGGTCTCGTAGGTCTTTTGCAGGTCGCCTCTAGGCTGGGTGCTCTGTTATGACACTGAGTCACAGTGGGATCGTAGAAACATAGAATTTTAAAATGCAATCACATCACAACATAATGGAGAATATACTTTTGTTTCTAGCGGCTGTTTTTAAAGAAAAAGCTCTTTTAAACCAAATGTGCACTACCTGTCGTCTAAATAAACATAAGAAATGTAACCGCCCTTGTATTCTGGCAAAGTCAGTCATTTATTGATTAGTTCAATGATTAACAAAAGTGAGACAAACTGAGTTTAGCAACAAATAAGGGCAACAACAAATAACTAACAACTTAAAAGCAACATATTTCCCCACAGTCTTACACTCTAAACACAAACAAAAAGAGTCTGACTATTCTGCAGTCAACTGACAATATAAGAATAACAAAACACATGCAAACACCTACACCTGGCATGCTAAACACTTCAATCCTGTGTTGAAGGACAACTTCGGTATTTTTCAACCTGGGCCCTATTTCCCCATGTGTATGTGTGTGTATGATTCATGGGTACAATTCGTTCTAAAATTGGTTAAGTATTGAGGGAGGCAGATGCAACCGGATCCGCGAAACGAGCTAAAATGGTAATGGGGGCAAATGCGTCCCGTATAAGTTTGCGCATTAAGTGCTTTTTTTCGCCACTGACCAGTTCAGATCGCCAGTGCTATCTCTGTAAATAGCATACTAACTTAGCCTTTCCCTTACCTCTGGGCTGTGTGATGTCACGAGCTTTGCTCCACTGTGTCTGTAGCTCTCTCTACTCGTGGGACAGTCGTTTTCTTGAGGAAGAGGTGTTTCGGGATTGGATGTCTTCTCTTCTTCTGCTGGCAGTAGTCATCTTGGGAGAAGTGAGCACTGCAGACCTGATGGTCTGCAAGGCACAGTGTCTGGAGAGGAGTGTTAGCATCCATTTGTAGCACAACTAGCCACAACTTCAGCATCTCGCTGTCCGACAAAGGCAGCCTATGAAAGCTCTACGGGGTGTTGCGCAACATCCTGTTCTTGCGTTCGGGAAAAAGGCCCGTTTATTTGAGCACTCCAAAAACTCCGGTAACACTCCAGGAGGTAGCACGTAAAAGACTCTGTCCCAAACTCTGACTCTTCTAGCGTAACACACACACTTCATACACACATACTCACTTACAGTACCCAGCGGGGCCGCCCTCCCCCTCTCTGCTCCAACACTGACTGACAGCTGACTCCACTCATTCACAGTCACCACTGCCCCAGGGCCGCTGAATGATCATTTGCATATCAATTGCTGGCCCGTGTTACGTTGAATTCATGAAGAAAAACTGCTTCCAGTGAGTGAAGAATCCAAAAACCAAGAAAATGATTGACGGATTGAAGTAATAGGGGTCTGTGTTTAAAGCGAAGGTTCAACCCAAAACCAAAAATACATAATTTTTCATTACGCTTACAGGAGTTGTTCGGTAGAGGGAAAATAGTCCCTATATGAAACCGCTCACAATAAGGTCTGTGGATTATCTTGAGTAACTGGGTCATGATATCTGTAAAGAGACATTGCTGTTGAGTTTTTCAGATTTATTTATTTGGCGTTTTGAGCATCACAAGCCCAGTGCCATCTAGTTCCATTATATTGGAGACATGGCAGATATCTTTATGGCTGATATCTCCCAACACTCAGTAACTCACACCAAAACAATCTAGACTGATAAATATCACTACAGGTCAGAGGAAACATATGTATGTTTCATTAAAGGGTGAACTGTCCCTTTAAGTTAGCAGTTAACTGTAATAAAGACAAGCTGAGGTAAGAGCAGACTATGTTAACTAAATGAACGGGGAACAAGTCAAGCAGTATGTGGACTGGATGTGGTCCGGATTTGCTGGCCCAACCAGCAAAGTGGAGGGATCTCTGGGAGGGATTTTCCAAGAGGCAAGGACCAATCACAGCACTATTTGTATATACCTTAGACATTACAGACATAAGAAATCGGTGAAGGCCACTGCCTGTTACGAGGGGTCACACGCTATAGCTTCTTAATCTAATTAAGCTAGCATAGCTATCAGAAATTTAGGCTTTCTTTAGATAACAGAGAGTACACACATTTTCTGTCCCACAACAGAAGGACATGACTATACAAACTCTAAATGCGTTTTATTTTTAAAAAGGTAAATGAGTATTATTATTTGTTCAGCTGTGTGTTTGACTGCACATCATGCTCTGTGCTGCTCTGTATTCTGCTTTTTCTCAGCAGTCAGTCTTTTTCTGATACCTATGTGTGTGTGTTTTGAAATTTTCTATGAATATGTTATTTGTTGTTTGCATGTGGTCAATATAATAACTACAGTTTACAAAATGGAGGCTGGGTTGTATGGCTTTCACTGGACCACAGCAAATGCAGGCAGCTGAAACACACACACACACACACACACACACACACACACTACAGTTATTACCTCTCACCCATGTCCTATTACAGCTGGATTTATGACTGAGAGAGCCAAGGTGATAAATTTGTCCCCTAATCCTAAATGCATCAGCAGACATGAGGGTACGCTGTCTCACTCTGGCAGCCCACTCCACCTTGACATTATTTATGCTCCATGGACCACCGCCTGTTTGTTTGGCTTACCTGCCCTCTTCCTCCATCCTCTTCCTCCCCTGCCACCTCTCCCCTCTCCTCCAGGTCATTCCCGACTGGAAGGAGCAGGAGTGGGATACAGAGAAGCCAGACTCGTATGCCGGAATTTTCCACTTCCGCTTCTGGCGCTTTGGTGAGTGGGTGGACGTGGTGATTGACGACCGGCTACCGACGGTGGACAACCAGCTGGTCTACTGCCACTCCAACGACAGTAACGAGTTCTGGAGTGCCCTGGTGGAGAAGGCCTATGCCAAGTTAGTATCAGTGCCAACAAATATACAGATCCAGTTTTAGAGAAGGTACACTTACAAACACAGTATTGGATTTAATTATTTTAAAGTTCTGCCTACATGAATTAAAACACAACGTAAACTAAACAGCATTTATAACTCCTCTCATGCTTATACAAAGTCAACATACTAAGTTGTAATCCAGTAAATAGCACTGTTGTTTTAAGGCTTCTAATAATTATTTTCATTAGCCATTAAACTGCAGATTATTTTCCTGATTAACTGATTAATAATTTTGTCCATAAAGTGGCAGGAAATAGTGAAAAATGTCCATCCAACTTTTCCAGAATTCAAGGTTATGTCATTAAAGATCTAAATGGTCTGAATCCCAAAGATAAGAATAATTAATTGACAGTAAAAATGGTTGCAGATTAATTTTACTTTTATCACTTACTTTTTATTGCAACATAAACTGATTACACTTTAATGTTTAACCCAGCTTCACACAGCCACCTTCATCTCCACATCCCTTTTCATTTCCACCATACACCATACACAGACAGAGTGTCCTTAATTAGATAGAAGATCCTTTAAATTAGATATCAAACTTGTCCACATTAAAATTGTGTTTGGACAAGCATCATTGACTCCTACTGATGATAGTTCCACTTGAGAAATGTCCAAGCTCTGAAGCCAGTGAATACTTAAGTTATCATGTACTTATAACCTTCTGCCAAAATCCCTGGACATTCCCATACAACATGTATAAAAGAGCCCGTGGTTCTGTGGAGGCAAAATGAGCAATCAGGGTCAGGTACCAGTTCCCTTTGACACCTTATTCTCAGCATTAGATTTGCTGTATGACAAAATTTCAAATGTATATACTGGTGATTTGGGTTTCTTGAGGCACCAGCGACATTGTCCCAAATTGCATCCCAGTTAAAGTCTTGTCCCAAATTAGATATATCCCTATCCCACGCTTTCATCCCTGATGTATACATGTATTTTTGGGAATTTGATTTATCATAGATGTATGACACTATCTGTCTTGGAGCATTCTGTATTCAACTTAAAATAGGATGGTGTTATAAATCTGACCCCCAGGGAACCCTGTGGGCTTTACAGGCTGACCTTATTCTGAAGTAGAAGAAAAGAGTGTGTTTATCAATGTATTGAGAGACAAGTTCTTGGAAATCAAGAGCAGTGGTTGCCTCATTAATGTCTTGAAGAGTGGTAATACCTTTAGTTGTAGCATCACTTCACTTGTAGCATATGTGTTAAGATTAAATTAAATCAATTTAAAAAATAATTAAATTAAAAGTAATTAAATAAAATTAATTAAAATGAAAAGATTGGATGATAAAAAAAGCCCAACACATTTTGGGTAGATATACCTGTAAGGAGAACGTCCTTTAACCTTATTGGCGATATTACTTTCTTGACTAATCGTTGAAGCTGTAATAGATAAAGCTCAACTCTTCTTCTCTTCGTGTCAGGGTTTATGGCTGCTACGAGGCTTTGGACGGGGGAAACACCGCAGATGCACTGGTGGATTTCACAGGTGGTGTTTCAGAGCCTGTGGACCTGCTGGAGGGTCAGATGGCAACAGACGAGGTGGCCCGTAACCAGCTGTTTGAAAGAGTTCTCAAAGTCCACAACAGAGACGGTCTCATCAGCTGCTCCATCAGGGTGAGCTAACAGCTGCAATACACGCTCAGATAACAACACCTCGTTTTTTAGATCATACTATACTGCTGAGGCTGAGATTCATTGTAGTTTTCTTTTTCTTAAAAGGGCAAATTGACTAGTTTTCAGCTTTAACTTATCATTATAAAATAAATATTGATTGCACAATATATTGGCTGTAGAATAATGACACCATCAGCATTTAGATCGGTTCCCTATAAGCCTCGATTTCACTATGCAATTCTTTGTGCCACTGGGTACGATCCCCTGGGAAAATGAAAGCTCAGTTTACAGCACAAAGGAAATGCGTCAACCATTGCACAACTGCAACAGAACGAGAAAAGCACCTTTATTTTTCCCGGTGGCTATGGTTAGCTATTCCCATTTCCCAAAGAGTATTCAAGTAAGTTCTTTGCAGTTACAAGCCCCAGAAGCAAAAATGGTGGCTGGTGAAACAACTGAAGTCAGTGAAAAGTCTGTGAAACTATGTTTTATTCATTTTTGTGTAGAAGATTTTGGTTCATCTATTCTGTAGTAGGGCTTGGTCAGCGTTCATTAGGGTTGGGCACTGTGCCAATTTGTACAGATACTGATACCTGTCATTCTGTACCGGTACCCAATGGTGCATTTTTATGGTACTTTACCGCTTCTGAAATAATAAAAATCTAACTTTTGAACAAGCTGCAGGGGTGATGCAGTAGACTAAAATGCAATTTTGCTCCTCTGCTCTTTTCTAATCACATATAAACCCTGTTTACACAAAAATCACACTAAAGCGAGGCTATGAAGTCCCTTCTTTATGCTGCCTCTGCAATTTTACACAGAACCAAACAGTTTGAGTTAGCTGCTAACAGCTACTTCATTCTCCTGCAGTAGGTCACACGCATAACAGGTTATCAACATGTCACACCCTTACTGTCTATGATCCCCTCCCATTGGCTCTACCGTTTATACAGACCTTGTTTTGGCGCTGTTACTACTTCTGATGCCATCTCAACAGCAAGACAACTCTGTTCCCCATTCCAGGATTGTACCTTTTACACTAAACAGTGAGGGAGCATAATGGCATGAAATTCCTTCGTTGAAGAGGCAGTGTGAAAGGGGCTATAGAGATAATCTTCTCTGTCAGTCTGTCTGCTTGTATGTGTGTGTCTGTCAGTGATACTAGACTATTACCAAACTAATATAGAAAAGAAAATGGACTAGACTTGAAAATATTGCTGCAGATCAGTGTTGCTGTGGCTATCACCCTGGTAGCCGACGGGGTGGCTGCGGAGCTCTGTGGCTGGCTTCCTGGCTTTGGGGTGCTTCTGCCTCCTGTCTGAGGTTGAACGCGGCAGCTCTGTGGAGCACCATTGCCAGCCTAGGAGCTCCATGGCTGGCTACCAGGTTTTGGGGTGCTTCCCGGTCAGCCTCTTGTCTTAACCCGGCGTTCTCCCCCAGATGCGCTCTCAGCTTCCAACTTTTGGCACAGATGGATGTTACATGAACTGGTGCTTGGTAGTAAAAAACGTAATTTGGTTGGTACCTTTAAAAGTACCATGTTTGGTACCAAACCCTAGTGTTCATATTGAGGACATTTTGTTTGCCTGGTCTTATTCATTGCTTTCTAAGGATCAGCTCAGCCACATGTATGTGACAAACACATTGATGAATGTGTTGCATGCTCACGAGTCTGCTGTCACATTAGCGTCTTTGTGAGGCTTTAATAAAAGGCATGCTATGCAGGAAATGTTGGCTACTGTTTGTAGACAGTATGGCCAGCGAAAGTGAAAGCCAACTCTAGATTCACTCCACTTGGCGTTTTTCCTCAGTATATTCGCGTTTCTGTCAGCACTGTGTCCTCTAGGTTTTTGTAGCTTCCTCTGTCTGGCACCTAACCCTCTTTAGGTCCGACCTCACCTGCCGCTGTGCACAAGAAGGTCTGGAACACAGTAAAATAAAGCAAATTAAATTAGGCAATTTAAGAAAATACAGTTGAATACATCCAGAGAGATTTCTTCTGTATGAGTTAATACATTGTGTTTTAACAAAATCCTGCATAGTACCATACATGTGGAGGCAGTACACATGCCTTTTGTGCCTACTCTGTGCCATCTTCAAAGGACGAGGAGGTAGGTGCATCTGAGGTTGCCAAGCGACCATAACCAGCCCTTTATCATAGCCTACTTATCAGAAATCCTGAGTGCAGAACTGATCTTCTTCCAGGCGTTGTTTTGTAAGTGTTATTTAGCCAAAAATAGTAGCCCTGGACTAAAATGATCAACCTCTCCTCCACATTAACCACCAACTTACGGAAGAAGGGAAATATATCCACCGGCTGTGACTGGTTTTTCCTCATCATATGATATGCAGTGTGCACTGCTGCGTTCCAAAAGTTGAACTATTGCAGGTATTTGGTGAAAAACCCCAAAAGTCTGACCGAAAAGTCAGAGGATTACCAAAGTTCTTACAGTTCATCCGTCTGTGCAACATTTTAGCACTCTAACAAACAAAGAAAGTGCTCGCCCTTCACTTTTTTAGCAGCATTACAATACCTGTTCTCTGAAAATTGTCTGATCCACCAAAGCTGACCCTTTGTGCTCCAGAGCCCTTTAATAATTAGAGCATTTTCTGCTGTGATTTTGAAATCCAGGGATGAAAACCTTTCTGCCTGTTGTGACTGACTTGGTGGAGATGCTGGCTGCCTGTGTCTCACCGCAAAGATATCAGCCTTCTTTAGTGCCAAATCTCTGCATAAATTCTTTCTGCAACTTTTCAAAGGCTCTTCAAAGTGGTGCAGTAATTTGTTTGAGATTACGTGAGGTACACACAAATGATTCGCACTTCTGTCTGTTTTCACAATACTGCGCATGCCTTTTCCTTTCCAAAATATTTACACAAAGCCTGGGTACATGTTCCAATGCCAGAGTCCTGGTAGATCTAAGTGTCTCGAAAAGGGTTTCATATATCAGAGTTTCAGTTTCATGTTTTTTTTTCATGTGTTTCTAATAGAGCTTGATGAATAATGCTTCAGGATTCGAGGCAGAAAAATCCCTGTTAAGAAAACAAGTGTATGCTGTCTTATGAATTCCATTTCTGGGTCCTCTGTCTCATGCCAATCTTATTCCCTGACGTCTTGCTCCAGCAACAACTAATTCACAATCCTTCATTTTGATTCAGAATCAGGCGCAGTTCAATTTTTAAATGATATGGCTCTTTTATATGCATGAGTTTTTACACTGGAGGGTCTATTGTTCAACCGCGAGTGTAATGAGAGCTCAGAGAATATAACCAGTACCGTACAAAAATGCATTTTCCATCCTTATCCATTGTTGTTACTGTAGCATGTATTTCTCAATCATAAGTTGTTATTCTGGGGATGCATGAATTTTACGCCTATCCTCTGGGAGACCCTGAGTTTACTGAGTTTCTGATTCATAGATCAGGGAATCCAAGTGCTGCTCTGCTATTGCTCTCATTTCATTTTCATCTTTCTTGGACAAAACAGGCTGGACTGAAAGGGAGAGACAGGCATGGTTGCTCCGTGATCTTAGCATCTTCCTTCCAGTGAAAAAACTACTCAAACCTGATGTGCATAAATTCATTTCAAAAAAGACACATCTGATCTAAAGGGGATCCAAAGATAATTAGTAGATTAAGAAGTGGGAAGAACTATTTTAAGCACCCCTGGTTCTGATGTAGAATCCTTTACCTTCTTGGAGAGTAGCACTGACAGGGAGTTATGGATGCAGATGCCAAAGCAAGAATAGGTAAGGACAGCATTTTAACAGCTTAAGAACATCTGGTGTTCTACAGTGACACAAAAAACTTTAACTCTATCTGCCATCAAATTCCCACAAATCTTTCACACTTCACCTTTAAGCACATAATTTATTACCACAAAATCTCTAAGAAAGCAGAGGCTCTGACACATAACACTGGCTCAGTAAAAAGAACAACTAGAAGTCGCTCCCATAAGAGTATAAACCCAGCTTTTGATGTTTCTGGACTGTAAACAAAGATTGTCAGGCCATCATGACTCCATCAGCTGGTCTTTAAAGGACAACTTTGGTATTTTTCAACCTGGGCTCTATTTCCCCATGTGTATGTGTGTGTATGATTCATGGGTACCACTCGTTCTAAAATTGGTTCAGTATTGAGCCGCGAAACTAGCTAAAACGGTAACTGGGGTAAATGCTTCCTGTATAAAAGTGCTTTTTTTTTCGCCACTGACCAGTTCAGATCGCCAGTGCTATCTCTGTAGATAGCATATTGTATTATACACACATACTCACTTACATTATCCAGCGGGGCAGCCCTCCCCCTCTCTGCTCCAACACTGACTGACAGCTGACTCCACTCATAGCACTCATAGCACTGGTGATCTGAACCGGTCAGTGGCGAAAAAAAACACTTTTAATGCGCAAACTTATATGGGACGCATTTGCCCCCATTACCGTTTTAGCTCATTTCGCGGCTCTGGTTGCATCCGCCTCCCTCAATACTAAACCAATTTTAGTACGAGTCGTACCCATGAATCATACACACACATACACATGGGGAAATAGAGCCCAGGTTGAAAAATACCGAAGTTGTCCTTTGAGGAGCAGAGGACTCAGTATTCCTTCTCATTGCTCCTATTCAGACAAACCATTGTTTTAAAATTCCATTAAGTAGTCTATCTATTTGTCCTGTCTGTCCATGGAACTGTCTGTTTGTCATATTAATCAGGCTCTCAGTCGATGCAAGGATAGTAGTCTATGAAATTTTGCAGTGTCTCACGAAAAAAAGCCAAGTGCACTGAACACATAATTACTGGATCGAAGAACCAATTTTCTGATAACGTTTTCTAATGACTGAGGCTGGAAATGGGACAGCGGTAGAAAGTGCCACGGGCCACGTGTCCAGGAGCGCCAATGTGCATCTTGCTGCCACTAGTGTGGAGTTGCATATTGAAAATAATAGGGGTTTATTTTTTGATGCATGGCATTTACCGCTGGTGTGTTATGGCCTTTTGAGTTTTTGCCCTGTCAGCTCATTGCTTGTGTGCTGGATGTGTAAATAGACAAGATACTAAGGAAGCTAGTGGGACAGTAAGTTTATTGAAAAGACATGTTTGTCTGAAACCTATGTCTTTTGTGGAGCAGTTTAGACTTCTCTTGAATATAACTGGATGGTGCAACACAGCTAGTCAGCTACGATAGCTTCCTCAAAGGTCAGCACAGTCAAAATGGCTCACTACCAGTCGACTGAGGGAATTTGCACATGAAAGTAAATGAAATTATAGCTGTTGCACAGCAATGGTCAGGGCTGGGCAATTTTAGACAGATTTAGGCAATTCTGAGCAACAAGAGGCAGAATAGGAAGACAACAAGAAAGTTGCCATTACAATGTACATTTTGCATCAGTTGAGGCTTGAACTCACAACCTCTGACACCAAGGAGAATCTTTTATCTGACTGAGCCAATTAGCAAGTGACATCCCATCTGTGGCTTCACAAATTGACTAAGCCAGCCACCAGGATGACAGCAGCTGTCAAGGCAGATTTCAAACTGCTGTCATAAATTTAGAAAAAAAATCTGAAAATACACATATTGCAGCTAGACAGCATGGAGATGTTGTTAATTTTTTTTTTTTTTTTTAACAATGATTGATTTACTCCATAAGTGAAAACCTGATGTGTAAAGATGCTCTATTCCCATTGACAGCAATGGTTTACATGAGGACAGAATTCAAAATGCTGTCAAATATTCAGCTTTTGATATACAATTCTGATATTTGCCACACATTATCTACCATGACTCCAAAATTTTGTTCATTTTTTTCTTGTACATTGAAAACTTATTTAGCAAGAATTTGCAAGTATATGTTTACAGTACTGTTTACAGTCAAACATCTTGATGCACTGTAGGCTATATGTTTGATAAATCAAAAATCTGTGAGGACAATTTGTGGAGGACAATCTGAAGATGCTCTGTAGCAAGTTTGGTGTCAATTGAGCAAAAATTGTGGGAGGAGATAGGTTTTAGAAGTTTTACAGTTTTTGAAAAAAATAGAGTGATGGATTTCATAATTTGCAATAGGTTTAAATGTACAAAAGTTTCTTCAGTTTTTAGGTTAGGTTAGTTTTAGGTTGAAATGTTCCAACCGGCCTCTCTCAGCCCAACAATTGGCATCTGAGCTTTTTCAGCCCAATAAATAAACAAAATAAATTCAGAAAATGTCAGAAAGGAAATATTTGTGCACCAATTTACTTATAAACAGAAAAATACAATTGTACACCTTCTGATTTCAGCTTTCTCTTGTTCACTGAACTAAGGCTAACTTAACTGCCTTGTTAACTCATTATAAAACACACTTCAAAATGAAACTCACCAAAACCTTCTTGGCAACTTATCATTAAAACAGTCCCCATCTCTGGTTTGGGCGAATTTAATCCTTAATTCACAGACTTAGATGTCAACACGTATTGTTTTTCCCTGCGGTCTCTCACTGTCTGCTGAGCAGCAGCTCACTCGTTTTTCAAAGGTAGACCTTCAAATTAGCAAAGTAAAATGACAACAATAATTAAAAAAATGCTAGTAATGTACTCAGCCAATCGCCAATAGCCGATGCTTTTGTCCAGTTGCCCAAACATAGTCCTCAGATCCCAGCAATTGCTTTAGTGAATACAGTGTTATAATAATCAGTAGAAATAATGGCTACTTATTATAAAAATTATTCATTTAAGTTTCATGCAACAGCTGTACGATAGAAGCAATGAGGTGCACCCTCATGGCTTATGAGTAAGGATGTTGCGAATGAACCACAGCATCCCTGGGTCGAGTCCAGCCGGGGACCTTTGTTACTCCTCTCTCTCTTTGGTTTCCTGTCATGTCTCTACTGTTTGTAATAAGGGAACAAAAATCTCTATTTTCTGTTCTCAGACAAACACAAACGTAGAGCTGTGTCCCTGTGTTCCTCTCACCAAACACCTACTTGTGTGTAGTTTCCCAGGGAACTGTGCCAGCCTCCCTCTTTACACATTTATCGAGGTGCACAGAAGCATCTGTTCCCAACCTGTTTTGCTGTTTTCCAGGCGACCACGGTAGAGGATATGGAGGCTCGACTGGACTGTGGCCTGGTCAAAGGCCATGCCTATGCCGTGACAGATGTACGGAAAGTGCGGCTAGGTCACGGACTGCTGGCCTTCTTCAAATCAGAGAAGCTGCACATGATCCGCATGAGGAACCCCTGGGGAGAGAAGGAGTGGAGCGGCCCCTGGAGCGACAGGTAAATCACAACACTGCGACCTACAGGCATGGATGAACTACTGCAGCTCATCAAATCTTATCTGTGTCTCGTTGATCCGTCTACATCCATCTGTCCTGATTCGGCACGATAATTTAGGTGAGTCAGACATTTCCAAAACAACACAAATGTTGTCTTTGTCCTTCTCATACATCACCTTGTTGTGATCTGTGCCAATTTAACCAATTACACAAATTTTGGTCCCTTTCATCCCTCAAAACTTGACACACTGGTGTCTGAGAGATTGCATGTGATGAATGAGCAAACAACAAATGACTGGACAAAGACAAACAGGATGTAAAATGCCCGCAATGTAGCCAAGAAAGCTCCACAATGGGGAGAATATCGTGTAGACAATGAAAAATGGAGATGCAATCAAGCTAATGGGCCACAGAGCAAAGATGAATGACTGAATTCGGCCCTGTTGGAGCGTCGCTTGTTTGCAGAGAACAATATCAAACAGTGCACTGCAGCTCAGAATAATTTTCCTGCGACCGTCCCAACACAGGAATTGAGCTTACTAACCCTTCAAATCAAATCAAAATGACTGGTTCCCACAAGAGGCCATTCAGTCAAGTGGACAAAGCTGTTATTTCTCCCTAGAAAAGAGTGTTTCATTCCAGCTTTACGTTTCTCCTGCACTTCATAGGGGAATAGGTAATGCTGAGATAAAGTTGCTCCCTCGACATCTCTCCGTCTTTGAATTGTTGAGCTGCCAGACTCAGTGAAACAAACAGGGGAGGTGGTAAAGCAGGATCATAATGGAGCCTGAATTATTGATAAGGCCGCAAGAGAGAGAAAGATGTTATTAAAGAGACGCAAGTCATCTCTCGTCTTTCTCAATCACTCGCTCGCTCTTCACTAAATAATTTATTCATGATTTGATGAAAAAAAAAAAGAAAAATCTGTTACTGTAAATGGAGTCTGACAGACTGTTGAGACGTGGACGCTTGTCAGTGACTCATAAACAGAGAGACATAAACACAGAGCTAATACATCCTGTAACAAGCCCTGTTTCCCCTGAGCAGTGAATACAGAATGGACCTTGATGTTTTGGTATGATTCACTGTAACAAATACACATATTCAACTGGCTCTTTAACATAATAGTGCCCCTGAGGGGTAGACACATACATCATTTATACATCTGAACTTGTTACAGTTACTGATCATTTAAAGTCACAATTATTATGATGATTAAAACATTTGCAGCCAAGTGTTTCCCACTATTGATATATATTAATATCCTACTAATCCTGCAAAGTGTTTTGAATAATTCATTCCTCACTTGTTTGTTGTCTTGTAGCTCGTCAGATTGATTGCTGTTCTTCTGCCCGGTGTGTGTGTGTGTTTGCTCTCATGTCTTTGCTCGCTGCAGTTCGGAGGAGTGGAACAAGGTGAGCAAGAGCGAGAGAGAAAAGCTGGGTGTCACCGTGCAGGACGACGGAGAGTTCTGGTGAGAACCATAAATGTACTAACAGTTTATTTTATTGTTCCTTTATCTTAGACTCATTTATTCAGGTGGTGCTGGCATAGTATAAAAATGTTTTTGAATGATTGCATGTCCACTGTCTAATTTATTAATGCTGCCCAGAGAGTTTGTGGGAATTCCTTACTTCAGCTGATGCTACTGTGATAATTTGGGCTAATTGTGCTATTTAAGCAATCCCTCAACGTTTAAGGAAATATGCTTTTACTTGCTGAGAGTGTGACAAGAAGATAATAATAAAGCTTCAGTCTGCCAGTTAGCTTAGCTTAGCAAAAAGACAGAGGGAAACAGCTAGCCTTACATTATCCAAAGGTAATGAAATCTGGCTACCAGCACCCCTAAAGCTCACTAATTAGTATGTTATATCTTGGCACGGTGGTGCAATGGTTAGCATTGTTGCGTCACAGCAAGAGAACTCCAAGGCCGGGGAGTCCTTCTGTGTGGTTGCATGTTCTCCCCGTGTCAGCGTGGGTTTTCTCCAGGTACCCCAGCTTCCTCCCACAGTCCAAAGACATGCAGGTTAATTGGTGACTCTAAATTGTCTGTAGGTGTGAATGTGAGTGTGAATGTGAGTGTGAATGGTTGTCTGTCTCTATTTGTCAGTGACAGTCTGGTGACCTGTCCAGGGTGTACCTTGCCTCTCGCCCAATGTCAGCTGGGATAGGCTCCAGCCCCCCCTGCGACCCCCAGCAGGATAAGTGGCTACAGAAAATGAATGAATGAATGAATGAATGAATGAGTATGTTGTTTAATCCATACAAAATCTAAAGTGTAAAAACAATAATTTGCAGTTTATTGGAGGGTTATTTGCCTTGGCCATGTGCAGTGACTTATGTAAAGCTGGGGTAGGCAGACATCTGGAAAAGGCAAGAAAAAAAAATCCCAAAATGGCACTTCAAAAAGAAACCCAGTGTTTCCCACACATTGATTCATTTAATCTCATTTCATTGTTGAGTTGCCCTTGGTGCATTCACTCAGCCCTTCCTCTCCCTGCTCTCTCTTTTTCTGTTGATGAGAATACAAATGAGACAAGAATTTGCTAGCTAGCCTTAGCAAACCCCAGACTGCCGGGTGTCACAGCGGGCTGGTGGACAATGGCAGCACTGGCGCTTACTTGTGTAACAGCAGCAACAGAAAGTTTGCTGATCCAGCAGGGAGTTGGGGCTAGGGTTTGCACTGGCTTGATTCGTGTTGTTGCAGCCACTGATAGGAGGTCTTTCCAGAGCTTCCGTCTGCTCTTTTCCCAATCAGGTGGTCTGTAATGGTGGAGAGTGAGGCATAGGACACACTGTGATTTAGGGGTCAAGCTAGGTTTAGCTACATAAATGTGAACCTGAAGTTGCAGAAGGCTAAACTATTAACAACATTTTCTCTCCATCTCTGAAACACTTTACTGATATTGACACGTGTTTTGTTGCTAATGCTGGAATAGCGGCTTTCTCTGCAGGTTTCCTTCCCATTGAATCAGTCTTTCCCCATCTGAAGGAACATGCAGACACATGTCTACATTTGTAGAACAGCCAATGGGAATGCCCTCTCTCTGAATTGACCTGTGATTTGGCCAAAATTTCCCCTCATGAGCTAGACTTTTCTTAAGCCTGAGAACACAGTCAAAAGGATTTCGTTTTCTCTTAGACCATCTAAATTATAATATGCTCACAGTTTTTTATGGGATTTTGCCCAATGACGACAAAATTAAACTACCTATCCCAGATTTTGACATGATAGTAAAGTTTAGGGGTGAATTTTGTTGCCTTTGAGCAGAACTAGGCCAGCTGTTTCCTCTTGTTTCCAATCTTTGTGCGAAGCTAAGCTAAATGGCTCCTGACAGTAGCATCCTGTGTTCCTTTAGAGAGGCTTGTCCACACTAACATAAACACAGTTCTGGTTTTTACAAGAAATTGGTCAAATATTGATTTTGACATTTTGTTATGTAGTTGCTGTTTTTCAGAAACCCATATCAGTCATCATTTAATCTCATTCCATGTCAGCACCAGTAATCCCAGTCTCCCTTTAACACGAAACCCTTTTCTTTGTTCCTGATTTCATTTCATTTCCTCTATTTGTGAACCTGTTAAAGGTCTTCTTCTTTCAAGCTTTTCCCTCTAGTTGGTATCCACTCTCTCCGGTCTCTTCTCTCCTCTCTCCTCTCCTTTTCCTGCCCTCATGCAGGATGACATTTGACGACTTCTGCCAGTACTTCACTGACCTGATCCTGTGCCGCCTCATCAACACCTCCTACCTGAGCATCCACAAAACCTGGGAGGAGGAGGTGATGAGAGGCTCCTGGGTCCACCGCCAGGACCCCCTGCGCAACCGGTCCGGTGGCTGCATCAATCACAAGGCCACCTTCCTACAGAATCCCCAGGTCAGTGGAGGTAGTGTTTGTGAAGAAATATTAGCATGGTTTACTCAAAACACAGTGTGTTTGTGTGTGTGTGTGTGTGTGTGTGTGTGTGTGTGTGTGTGTGTGTGTGTTAGAGAAATGTGTGGCCAGTGTAATAACGTGCCCCCCTCTCTCTTTCCAGTATGTGTTTGATGTGAAGAAAGTGGAGGACGAGGTGCTGATTTGCTTACAGCAAAAAGAAAAGAGAGCCACACCCAAAGAGGGCAAAGGGGAAAACCTCGCCATCGGCTTTGATATCCACCGGGTAGAGACATACAAATACTCACACGTCTCCAGAAAACCTGAACAGTTAATAAACTAGTGAACACCTCAAGCGAGCAAATTTCTGCTGTAACATCTTCTCATCCTGCAGGTGGAGCTAAACCGTAAGTACCGTATGCATTCAGCCCAGCAGAAAGTAGCGGGCTCCATCTACATCAACTCGCGCTGCGTCTTCCTCAGGAAGGAGCTGAAGGAGGGCCGTTACGTCATCATTCCCACCACCTTTGACCCCGGGCAGCAGGGTGACTTTCTGCTCCGTGTCTTCACTGATGTGCCTTCAGACTGCAAGTAAATCTGATATCTTACCACTGAACACATTTTGAATTTCCTGAATCTACATCTAAAGAAACTTTAGAGTGGTGTCCACCAGAAGTTCATGCCATGATAAAATCACATACTGTAGGGCCATCTGTACTGTGCACACTGTGTATGTAACTGAAGTTAACCCTTTAAAAACGGACATTGTTTGGATTTTTCTGTTTTATATAGATCTAAAATAAGAACCATAATAGCTAGATCTTTTTTGCAGCAGCAGAAAGCTAAGGCATCTGTCTTCCCCATCATCATGTCATGACCTTACATTACCTTACCTTACGTGCCATACAAAGGTGGTATTCTGCGGTAATAATGCTGATATATCCCATGATGGCCGGGGGGATCGCTGTTTCCAAAATCCTGGCTCTATATTGATCTAGGATAAAAACTATAATAGATAGAGCTTTAATTTTTTTGCAGCAGAAAGCGAAGGTTCCTGTTCCTCCCGTCATCATGTCATTACCTAAGTTACTTAACCGTATGTGTGGTGTAAACGTAGTATTCTGGAGCAATTATGCCGGAATTTCCCCGTAATGGCTGCGGGAGATTGTTGTTTGCATAATTTTGTAATCAAGTATAACAACTAGAATAGTCATTCTTTTTGCAGCAGAAAACATAAGTTTCTGTCTACCATATCATTACGCTTTACACTTGTAATGACATCATTGCACAACGTTGCATGTGATGCAAAAATGCATGGTTGCGCCAGAGGAATGAATGATGAATCCATCACAATGCCTTTGCACTCTGCTCATGAAAGTGAGCATATCTCAAAATAGTATAGTCCAAAGAACTTACAGAGTGTTAAGAGATATTTTGTTTATGTTTTTACATCTCAAAATCTTTTCGTTCGGTGTGTTTTGTGTTTTTATTTTGAAAAATCTGATGGAAAATGACACAATTTCAATACTTTTATTAACTACTTTGGTTTATTGACTTACATAACCTTTTAGCTGAGGTTGTACAGATTTAAAGGATACAGTATGTAGCATTTAAAGATACTCCAAGAAATAACAGCACCATAAGCAAAAATCCAATACAGGCAGTAGCAGACCATTTCTATTGCAGAGTTCAAAATGTTAACGTTGACTCAGCATTGAAGAATAGACGTACTGGTGGCTCTCTTTTATGCCTATAATATTGATTGTCTGAAAAGGAGCATAATACAATATGTATGTTAAGGTCAGTCATTAAAGCTGGTTCTCCACAGTCCACTAAAGTTTTATTTTAGCAGACGTGGTAGCTAGCAAGCCTGCTGAGTGGACAAGTCAATATTTTACAGCCATTTTAGCCCAATAAAATGCATTAAGTCCAGTAGATAGACCTGTAGGTTGCATTTCAAAAAGTCAACAAAGTCAGATGTTCATGGAAGGCATTTACTTATGTCAGTAATATAAAATATTGTGCTTGTCTTTCATGAACTGGCAAATTTTCCCAGCGCTTTACAGTTAGAACTTCCCAGTTTTGGAACGTTCTTCCATTGAGTGTACGACATAGTGACTCGTACTGTTACTTTGCAAATTATCTTAAAACTTGGCTAAAAAGCAACCAGACCTGCCATCATACCAAGTCACTGCACGCCTGCCCTGTCTGCTCTCATTTGTTTTTTGTCTGTGTTTGCATCCCTTTGGTTTTACCTCTGTCCTCTGTAATGTAATCAGTGGTAATTTCGTTAATGCAGGCTATGACTTAATACGTTCGTCAACAACCTTTTTATCAAAGACTAAGCCGAGACAGTGACGAGATGGTACTGACATCATTCTGTATTGTTGATAAAAAAAGATGAGACTAAAATGTAGAAATGTAGTTTTAAAAAAAAATTAAATCTTAACTAAAATCTAAACTAAAATCTAAACTTTATTTTTGTTGACAAAAAAGAGGAGCTGAAATATAAGAGACTGTACATATAAATATTATCAATTTTCATTTACTACAACTATACTAAAATAGTATATAGTTTTCTTTTTGGGATAGTTAAACCTTTAGCAGTGGTCTGCTGCCAGAAATTACCCTGCAGCCAATCAGTAAGCAGAGTCCTGTAACTCCTGTGACATGTTGACCTATGAAACAAAGAATTTCTTCCCGTCTGAAACATGAACACGCGTCGCAGCTGCACACTGTCATTGTTGTGAAGAACCAAACTTCACTGCTGCCTGGTGTGTTTTCGGCATTTCACCTCGAAGCTTTGTATTCTGTTGAGCTGTTCATATTTTGCTTTCTCTGGTTCTAATTTTGCATGTTGTGTGTTTGATTGTTGTTTTAATCGCTAAATTAACATGTGGCCTTTTGGCCACCTGTGATCCATTAAAACTACAAGAACTTGTAACAACTAGAACCACATACAATGCAGGCAAGACTTACTTTGGAAAGATAACCTCTTGATTTGTCTAAAGCCTTAATAATGCTTGGACATACGACACTTTTGATGACTGTCGCTCAACACACATGATGCATTTTCAACAGAAAAAAAAGTGTTGCACAACATTTTTCTTTCTCTCATTCTCATGGAGAATTTTGTTACGTCCCGGATATCGTCGTATTTTGCCATGCATTGTGATTAGTGGCATTACTAATGTCACCACCCAGACAGTAGGTTTAAATCCACACCAGCTCCGACCTGCATTTAGCGTCCTGAGGAGCTGAGAGGACAAAGGCCGGCCGAACTGCCTTTACCAGACTGACTGACAGCAGATATTTACTGAATCAAAATAGTTTACATGTAAGGGCCACATGAAGAAATCAGCAGTATTTGTATTCATTGAATTATTGATATTATTTCCTTGCCCACGATCATGAGAGAGGGGAAGCTGCTGCTCACAGCGCAACAGCTGCTTCAAATAAACTTTGGAATAATTTTTCAATAGCAAAAGGAGTGTGGATTTCATTCCTGATCACATTAAAAAAGGATCTCTTGAAGGAATGATTACAAGAGAAAACTGTTTCAAATCTCCAAAGGCAGCAGACTCTTGCTTGAAGGCAGACTTGAAAGTTGTGAAGATTGCCTTTAAATATGGAGCCATTGCACAACTGCCGCTTTTTTGCTAGCTGCATGCACAGCTGTTACTGCTGCTGCCTTCTGACTTCATTTCCCAGAGAGTGTTTCACAAAGTTTTGTTCTCATTTCAGCTCTCAGGACATGAAATTATGTCGAGTTTGTGTTACTGCATTTTGATTTTGTTCTCTTTTGTTCAAGAAAACAGGTTGGAAGTGTTGATATAAAACAGATGCCTGAAAACAAATGTAATATCTTAATGTTAAGTCCAGGTGGCCTTAAAAGTTTTGTAACAGTCACCCTTTCTTTCCCAGAGAGCTGACTCTGGACGAGCCTCCTCAGACATGTTGGACAGGGATGTGTGGCTACCCTCAGCTGGTCACTCAGGTCCATGTTCTGAATGCTGAGGGTCTGCAGGGACAGGACTCCAATGGAGGTAGGACCACTACACACACACGTTGCATGTTTTTGCAATGTTGATGATCTTGTTCCTGTATTGTAAAGCTCTGTAAACTCCTGTGAACACCCACAGAGCTTCACTGCCTCAATCCCAGTAAGGAAAGACTTCTGAGCAAAGCACGAGGTACCACAGCACCATCTGCTGAAACTGTAGTCCCTTATTTAGTTCTAGTCTGTAGTACACAGTCCTCACCCCTTAAAGATTGTACACTGTGTGTAGAAACCTGTAACTTCTACATCTCACTCACCTTTAAAGCCACTATGTGAAGATCTTTTATGTCTTTATAGTTCCTGTCAAATTATTTTCATGTCACAACTTTGAAATAAGACAATCCCCTGTGAAAAATCAGTGGTGTTGTCGGCCTTTTCATTCTTTATCTGTTGATCAGATCCTTGTGGTGACTGCTGCTGCGTCCACCGGGTGGCACCACAGTCAGAAATTCTCACATCCTCCACATAGTGGCTTCAATGTTGAGATTCTTTTTCTGAGAGAGCAGCAGAGATGGAAGTAGTACTCTGATCTTTTAGTTATGTAAAAGTACAAATACAATCATGAACAAAATACTACTACCACTACCACTACTTGTAAAAGAAATGCATTCTTTTAACTGCCCTATTGTGAGTCTGTAAGGTGTGGTTTTCTTTTCAAACAGGAGGTTTTGATCCTACAAACCTGTCACTAAGACTTTGTAGTGTGCAATAACTTTTTTGATATTACGACCCGGGGAATAACTGATAATGAAAATAATCATACACTATGATAATTTGGAAATAAACTCTTCACTTAATCAGTGCACATAATGTGATGTAGACAGAGTAATCACAGTGTCTGTTATCAGCACTGATTTACAGGCTTTTCTCCCTTCAGCTGTAGATCCGTACGTGATCATCACCTGTGAAGGAGAGAGGGTTCGTTCACCAGTTCATAAGGACACACGCTGCCCAAACTTTGACATCAAAGGCCTGTTCTACCGCAAGAAACCCAAGGATGGCATCCACATCGAGGTGAGGTGTCACTCGCTGCAGCCATCCCACTGCATATGAAATAGTTGCCAATCTGCAGACTAACATTTGAGACCAACAAACAACAAACTGGTTGTTTTTTACCGACCCAGCACTGCATTTCAAGCAGGAATTTATGCACTGAACCTGGGTGTTTTTTTGAGATGCATATCATGGCATTTCCAGTAGCATTTGTGCATCGAACCTGTGCGTTTTTTGGAAACACACTGAGGCATTTCTAGTGGCATTTGTGCACCGAACCTGGGTGTGTCTTAGTAATACATATTGCGGCATTTCCAGTAACATTTGTGAACTGAAACTTGGGGTTTTTTTAGAGCTACACCGTAGCGTTTCCAGTAACGTTTGTGCACCAAACCTGGGTGTTTCTTTGCTAATACAACAAGGAATTTCCAGCGGGATTTGTATATTGAACCTGGATGTTTCTTAGTGACACATATCGCAGCATTTCCAGCAGTGTTTGTGCACCGAACGTTGGTATTCTTTAGAGGGACATATTGCGGCATTTCCAGCTGCATTTGTGCCACCAAAAGTGGGTACAAAAACAAAACATGATCATTTCCTCACCATTACCAAGTGGTTTATGTGCCTAAACATCACCACACATTAACCACAGCGGTGTTGAAACATAAAGAAACATAAAATCTGAACTTATATGCAACGTACATAACAACATACAAATGTAACATATCCATAATTTGCATGGTTTGTCTGGCACTTGGGTTGTGTGGTGTCTGTGTTTGACCAATCACAGATATGCAGCTCCACAAACTGTATTACCTTGAAAGTTCCTGAACTGTTTGGTAGCACCACACTAGGAGCAGGGACTTTTTTTTTTTTTTTTTTTTTTTTTTTTACATCTGTTGCACAGGAACCAAATGCAGGTTAAGTTCCTGAATTCCTCCAAAAAGAAGGTTCCTGTGATGGAAGTGTTGACTTTGTCCCTGCAACAGTCATTTACACAGCTGAACACTTTTTATTTTTATTTCTCTCAGCTCCTGAATCCTAACAACATATTTCTCACCTGCTCTCATCATCTGTGTGAGTGTGTGTGTGCATGTGTGTGTGACTGTATCACATGAGAGTGGAGCTACTAAGGAAATTTGCTGAACATCCATTACCGATCAATTACATGCTCAATATCAGGCGATATGTGTAAGCCGTGGAAGTGCACTTGTTAGGGAATTATCATTGGTAATATGATGTTGCATTTACTCAATCAGACCTGGAAAATTGCAATTCTTGTATCTCAATAAATGGAGGCAGAAATGTGCATCTGCTGCTCTGTAGACAAACTGGGCCTGTGACAGGGATGCAACAATCTTACTTTTCCTACGCTAATGCTGATACCTAGACTGTTGACTGATATAAATGTCAGTTCTATGCTCCTTTTTTCCAAGATAAACAAAATCTGTTAACCTGTCTTGGTCAGACTTGTTAAGATGTATATAAGCCAACATGAGGCAGTAACTGCAGACTTGAAGGACTTCCCCAAACTAAAACTTCTCCTGTAATCAAACACTGCTTATCATGAAATCAAAATGTATTCTGTCCATGCAAAGTTTCAAAACACCCCTCCAAGTCTTAATCTACTGAAAAAAGTATGTAGAGTTCATATATAGATTAACATTATTGTAGGTGATATTCTGGTTTTACAGTAAAGGCCCACCATTGCCTACACATTATTAGTCTTACCACCAGACAATCAGAGATCTCCGCCTTCTGATAAGCGTCTAAAGACTGACTTGTGAGTCTAACACATTATGCACACAGTGGCAAAGTGTCAGTCGTAGCTTTACTCGTTATCCTACTGACGTAAATGAACATAGTGGAAAATAAACTGTATTTGAAGTGTATTGTTGGTAATTGGCCGATATGTACATATTGGGACCGACACTATTTTCTTGATTGGTGCAGGTCTACCATGTAATAACTAGAGATGCCACGGTGTAGGGCTGCCCCCAACTAAGAATATTCCTAGTCGACCAGTAGTCGTCATTTAGGTCCATTAGTCAACTTATCGCCCGCATGTTTACGATATTAATGTAATGATTAAATGATATATTTTGGTGGTTTGAGTTGAAGGTGTGAGAAAGAATAGTATCAGTAACATTGTTAACACTGTGCTACATTACAGAGAAATAGTGCACGTCACACACTGAGTGAGTGCACGTCACACACTGAGCGAGCCGCCTGTTAATGACGCTGTGGGCTAATGGGCATGTAGCTACTTCCATGTTTCAGATGATACGTCATGTTTGTAGTCGACCAATGAAGATGAGTTTACATATCACCTTGGGTTCGTCCTTCACCTTCTCAAAATGATCCCACACTTTGGATTTCCTGCCCAACATGTTATTAACTAGCCTGTGGAATAACCATAGGTACCAGCCCTGGAAATTAACCTGATTCCTGTCTGACTGCTGAGCGTGGACACTTCCTGTGTCTGTCCTTTCAAATTAAATTCCCACATGGTCCAGTCATATAGGTTTTGATTTATTTTGACAAGGCGCAACTCCTGATAGAGTTTCACGTTTGTTTGTTTTTGGGGGGGTTTCTGCGACTAAGCAACCAGTGAAATCCTGCTGACTAATGACCTTTCTGGTTGACTAACGTTCGTTGACTATTAGGGGGCAGCCCTAACACAGTGAGGAAATTTTCCAGCTGGTTGAAAAAGTTTAGAAAATTTTGTCTATGAAAGTACGTGGTAGTGATAAATAGATGGCCCCAAAAATCCTTATCACTGGAGCACCCTAATTTTGTTGTTCCACACTGATTTTGGTTAAGATTTTCTATATTTTGTAAATCAAATATAAGTGTTATGTAAGCTCATTCTCTTTGAAGTCTGCTATGTAAAGAGATTTTAGTATTTTTCACTTGTTACTTCACCTAAAAACTCCTTTACATCAGCACCTCTTATTCCTCTCTGTGCCTCATCTACCCTCTATCAACTTTAACTTCTGTCCCTCGTGTATTTTCTCCTTTGGTTTTCTCTTTTGTGACTGCTTATTGCCTTTTGTCTTGTCTTTCTTCTCTTTTCATGCTTCCCTCTCCTTTCACTTTCGGATCTCCGCCTTCCTCCCATGAGCGGCCAACAGATCTACAACAAGAACATGATCGTGGACACCTTCCTGGGTCAGGTGATCATGTTCAGCGACCCCAACGAGCGGCAGGAGCAGCACACGCTTCACCTCCGCGACAAGGGCAGCCGCCAGGACAACGACCTCCCGGGCACTCTCACTGTGCGCCTCATCACCTCAACCACGCTCACCAACATCTGATGCGATCGTTTGTGTGATTATGATGATCAACACACAAGGTGGCGTTCAATCGTGCCCGCTGGTCGTGTCCGCCGTTGATCCTCCAACTATGGCAGGAGCTCACTGTGTCTTTTTTTCTGCCGCTTGCGCTTTTCTCTTTGTGTCTCTTATTGTTTCCCCTTTTTTCTTTTGCTTCATCATTTAAATTCTTTGAAGGTTTTTAAAGGCCTTTACCTACATTTCTGGATGAGAAGTGTCCACAGACAATATTTGGGGTTTGTATTTAATATCTCTGAACACATTCCTGCCAAAATCATCAGTTATTTAGTGTTTGCTTCAGAAATGTGTTCTCAAAGTAGGTTTTATTGCAGCTTTTGTAGCCTGAATCTCCATCAACAACTGAGCTACACTTTAACACATTTTTCAGAATATAAGCTTAAATTAGTGAATCGGTCAACCCGAAACTACAATTTCTTATTTTCTTTTTCTGCATATTGTTATATTCAAACACACACACACACTCATACATACACACACAATACACATGCAGACATTTCTGCACTCTCCATGCATGTGCCAATGTTTCCAAGGGCTATGCATTGCCTTAAGGTTGAGTCTGTCTCTCCACCTTGAGGAGGCGGGGGAATAAAGTTAAATACTCTTTATGTTCTCCATCAGCTGTCTTCAGTGTTAGCACAGCCTCCATTTCTGTTCCTGCTTTTTCCCCTCATAGTTTTACTTTCTATCTCCTATATACTGACACAACATATACTCTTTATACCTGTGGATAATCGCCCCACACCGTCAGCTCACCCAGACACCTCAAGTCTTCACCAGTTTGCCGGTGCTTTGGAGAGCATGCAGCACTGTCTGTCACTTTTTATTGTGGACTTTACAAAAGGAAAGCCAACAGCAGCTATTCTCTCCCTCTTTACTGAGAGCTTTTCTGTGTTGTTCTGTGAGCGCGCTCATGTGTGAAATCTTGCCTCCCGTCTTCCATCACTAGAACCACTTCAAACTCCCTGAGACGCTTTTCTGCCGGTTGCTATGGACGATCTTAAAAAAACTGCATGGCTTAAAAACTAAACTCTTTGCCTGTGATGCACATCTTTCCGGTCGTAGCTTAGCAGCCGGTGCTTTTGACAGTGCTATCCTCGCTGTTTGATCCCACTCCATGTGTACACCTCCCCAGTTCAGCGGAGTGCAAAGATTCACCCTGACATAATCAAGTGCTTTATGGGACCAAAGATGAGCCTCCGCTCTCTTAGTCCCTTTCGGACCGCCCTGGCCTGGCCTGGCCCAAGCCTAGCTACAAACCACCACCCCCTGTGCCACATCATCTCTTAACGGCAACACCACTGCCTGACGCTTCCTCTGACTTGAGTCTTTTGGCCCAGGCCATGGACTCATGCCACGTGACCCTGAGAGAGAGGCAGCAGCTGTGCTGCTGCTGTTGGCACAGAACAGGCATGAGTGTGTGTGTGTGTGTGTGTGTGTGTGTGTGTGTGTGTGTGAGACAGTGTGTGTGTCCTGCTAGTTCCAGTCTTGCGCTGCGTGTGAGTGTCTGGGAGTGCTTGAGGATGAATGAATGTATATCTGTTAATCCACCTGGAAAAGAAAATGATTTCTGAGGAGAGGTGTGAACCGAAAGGAAAAGAGCCCTTTAGCGGAACACACACCTTGCACTTTATTTAAGTTAAAAGGGGAAAAAAGACCCTTAATGGATGAGAGAAAGACGAGGGTGAGCAGAGAAGACGTCCTGTCAAACAACCTGTGCCATCGCCTTGGTCCTGGATTTGCCTCCACGGCAGGAAAACAACATGAGACAAAATGTTAAGTGATTTCAGAAGGATTACAGATGGTTTTTGCATATTGAACCAACACTGGTACGATGCTATCTATCTCTGATGAACTTTGGCATTTCTTGATCATGTGGCCATCGAATGGGCTTGGGCACCTGGGCTTTTTGTGACAGAAGCCCAGACAGAAAATCACAACATGTGTTTTCAAAAGTGCAATATCATTGCAGAGACTTTTCATTCCAAGTTTTATTGAGTTCTGGGTTTGTCTTTGTCTTTTTATTTTTTTCATAATAAGAATTAAAAATGTAAGTCATTTTCAAGACATTTCCTTTGAATGTAAGACAAACAGTTAGTGAACTAATCTCTCAGTCAAACTATCAAGTCCGTTTTCCTGATTTTTTCAGCGCCTTTTTCCATTACTTGAACTGTCACACATGGCATTTAATAGATCACACACACCTTTGTGTACAGCATCTTTATAAATGTGTCTTGCATGGGTTATTTTCCAATATGTTCATGGCCTTGTATTGTACTGTTCAATTGTTACTGATATATATATTTATTCTTTCTATCTCAAAAGTCTTGGAAATGCTAGTTTTGAGCAGTCAGCATGTCTACACTAATGCACCTCATGTCGGTCTGATCATATCAACAGGTTTGAAACAGTTATGTCTTGTAATACAGTGATGCATTCATAATGCCTCTAGCATCGTGAACATTAGCAGCAGTTGTCGACTTCTATTTAGGTGCTATTTATCTTCTCTGTGCTATTTTTTATATTGTTTGGGAAAGAAAGCAAGTGTTTGGTAACAGGACTGAATTTGGAGAATGTGAGCTTGCAGACAGACAGTGTTAGAAACTGTAGCGCCAAGGAGTGTCAGGTTAGACATGTGAGCCTGTGCCTGGATGGCTGCTGGTTTTTATTTACAGACCAGGTGGGTAATGAAAGAAGCCCTTCTCCCACCCTCACTGAGTACCGCTGAAGTGTCCTTGTGCAAGGCACTGAACTCCTAACTGCACCAGTGGAGCCTCGTAGTGGCCAGCTATTGTACAGCTTCCATGTGTGACTGACTGTACATATTTCTGTGTGATTATAACCCCCCTCCCAGGTCAATACTGTGAATATGTTCAACTTCAGCTTAGACGAGGGTGGAATGAAGGGTTAATGCGAGAGATTATTGGTGCCAAAGGAGTGTATTGCACAAAATGAGTACACAGACCAGGGGGTGGAACTAGCTCCTGTTTGTTCTTCTCACGTTTTACTGTTACTTTTGAGTCACAGAATGAATATCCTGCAATCTCTGAAAATCCAAGATGTAATTCAACAAAACTTGTTACTGATCTGAAGAAGTTTCCAAAATCCTCAAAGCCCCTTCTTAACATCTGGATACAATATATTTTGCTCCTGTCATGTTTGGTAACACCACATCTCTCGTTATACCTTTCGTTTGCTTGTCGTGAGCAACTCGAGCTTTCTAGATAATTCCCTAGGGTATTTTCATCTAATTTGCAGCCTCTCCTAGGCCCCTTTTACACTGCCTCTTCAAGGCGAGAATCTCACGCTGTTATTCTGCCTCCCCAAACTGTGTAAAAAGTACAGTTGTGGAATGGGGGGAACAGAGTTGTCTTTCCCTTAAGCTGGCATCAGAGGTAATAACAGCACCGAAATGATGTCGGTATAAGCAGGACAGCTGGCAAGGTAGCAAAGTAGCTGCTAGCAGTTAGCAGCTAACTTGAAGAACAGCAGCCAAAAATATCCACAAACTGGGAAAATAATGAGGTCCGGGAGCTCCTTACCCAGTCAATTTTACGTGTATGTTATATGTCACACTAAAGGCTGACGCTGTTGTGTTACATGTCACGCCTGTCACGCCTTTTTTGATTCTGTGATGCTGGCATGCTGCCTAAAGTCACACATTGGAGTTCCATGATGCCGTCATTGTTCAGTTCTGTGTAAAAATGCAAAGGTGGCGTAAAGAATGGACTTCGTAGCGGCTCTATAGCACAATCTCTGTGTTAAAAGGACTCAAGCCTGACATCACCAGACGAAACACAAATTAGTCTGAAACTTCTTAAGGTGTTTAGTATCTTAATGTATTCTTAAGGTGTGTAATCAACTGGCAAAGAACAAAATGCCTTTAAACACAATTGAATAGACCTACAGCCAACTAGAGCAACAAAAAATAAAGGGAACGTGTAGGAACTTTCCAGCTCTTGATATTATGTTACAAGCTGACACCACCCGGCAGCCAACCGGCGACTATCATATCACCACAAAAGGTGCCTTTGTGCATTGGTGTCTGACACTGAAATCACTTACAATGTATTTGACGAGTTGGGAATGAGAATAGGCCTGATGGTGAGAAGTGTCTTGGAGGATTCTGAAAATCCCTTTTAAAAAATAGTACAATTTTTCAAACAACCTTCTTGATTTTTCAGAGATCATTTTCTAGAAATTTTCACTTAGCTCTGTGATTTAAATTCAAAAGTAATACTACAGAGGCACAAACAGGCATCAACTAAAGACTAACAGACACACTTCAACCCTGATTTGGCTTAAATTACACACAACAATCACTAAACCATGTCGGGTTAATATGAACTGTTATATCATAATCTGTTTTGTTGATTGGACGGATGCTGATTTTATATTCCAGAGTTTCACTTCTGATGCCAGTACCATATTTTACATTGAGATTTCACATCAGGTTTTACAGCAACAACCAATTGTGTTATTTCTTAGATGTTTTTTTTATGAGTATGGATGTGGCACAGAAATATAACAGCTAACACACAACCTGACAGCTTTGATATATGGGAGTATTTGGGGATTCAGAGTCACTGTGTCGCTCACAATCCCACAGTAATAGTACGAGCAAGGAGCCGAAATGTGGGAACGAACAGTGTGTTAAGCTCAATGTGAAATCTTATCAAACACATGTGCCACAGCAGTGCCAAAAAGACAAAGGGCCTATTGAAAAGGGATGCTTTTGTAAAGATGTGACTGTTTGAAAAATGTAAGACAGTTGAAGTTGTTGTCTGTTTGTTTTTATTGTTGTTCTCCACGTCATGTCTTCTTTTGTTTTGAAGTGATTCTCATTACATTGCTATTGTTACTCATTTGTAATTGTTGCACATTGTGATTCTCTGCCAAAAGTGTTACGGCTTTCACTGTTAACCACTACACACACACACACACACACACACACACAGTATACACACAAACACTCCAGCTACTAGACTAACCAGACTTGGTTGGAGTGTACGGACCTTGACTGGTTTTTTGACAGTTGCTACGAAGCTTGTCGGTTATCTGTACATATTTTCCGCACGGCCATGCCAAAGCAGGTTTTAAGAACACGAAACCCTTCAAATGAACTGCTCACAACGGTGGTGACTTTTGTACGAATCCAGAAAAAGAAAAAAATGCCAGTGCATGTAGCAAAATCGCTTCAAATCTGCTCGCTCCATTACGAATCACAGAATATATATTTTTGTTTTTCTTGGAGTGTTGTAAAACATAATCCGCTGTTGCTACTTTGATAAACATACTGTGTGAAGTAGAAGGCTTATGTTGCACACTTGCATGCATTGAAACAGTATCCAGTTTTATAACATTTTGTATTCAGTAACCTGCAGTATACAGTATGTATATAAAAGTAGCAGCAACTTATCAGTTGTTATTATTATGGGATCCATGTTTTGATGGATGTTATACAGTATATTCTAGACATTCATTTATAAAGAGGAAGTTGTCCTTTCCCACTTCCTCTAGTGATCAGCAAGAATACTTAGAGGAATCAACTGCATTATTTATTGATGGCCCCATGATACCTTGCATTAATTATGGGTGTGAATTCTGGTTCTTCCTTTCACTGCACTGGCATCTGCAAAAGTTAGCGGTATGATACAGGTGTCTTTAATTTTCTTGGAGATTTAGGAGCAGTGACTGATGTGGGAACACAGCCTGTCAAGCCTAAAAGGTGAAGACATTTTGGTAAATTCATTAATTTGTTTTCTTGCCGAGAGCTAGATTAGGAGATTGATCCCGCTCTCGTTTCTGCAGCAACTATGAAGCCACCACCAGCAGACGCTTAGCTTAGCGTACAGACTGGAAAATGAGGGAAAAAACAAGCCCCCTTTATCTAAAGATGACCTACCAGCACCTCTGAAGGTCAGAGAACTAGCGGCAACAAAAGCTGATTGTTGTGTCGCCTCACATTGCCTGTCTCAGCCAAAAAGTTGCACACAAATACACATCAAAGACTACTGCTGATGACCAACCAGCATGTACGTTCTGGAAATAACTCCACACCAGCAGACAGTCTGTATTCGTCATTCAAAAAGGAAAACTGCAAGACCGTCTTGACGCTGGTCAGCCAGTTAGCACATTAACAACACAATCCGATGCTGAAATAACAGCATATTTACCGTGTGCCAGTGAACAAAAAAAAAAAATGATGCCAGTGAACATCACAAAATGTTTTTGCTTAATAGCTCAGTGGCTAAAGAAAAATACTCTTACCTCATGTAACAAGTTCGAGTTGGTCTCACTTCCTCTTGACTTTAGCTCTTTGTTTACTTTCCTCACTTTTGTTTCTCTTTTTGTGCGCTGAGCTGAACTGCCAGTCAGAGTGATTTCATTCACCAGCGGGCTCCCTTGTCTCTACGTCTATTTTACATGCTGAATTGGCCAAAAAAATACTAACAGGAGCCGACGAGGGGCAACAGCGCAGGACACACTGCACCGACTAGGGCAACAGACACTCACCAACAGCCCAACATCAACCAATGGCTGACTGTCAGCTTGGTGTCTCAGGGCTTTAAAGTTTTGTAATGAACAAGTTTTACCACTTAAAAAAAAATCAGTTTGACAACGTAATCCGCAATTTTGCAGCCGCTGTCTATTTTCATTGTGCATTGTGCAACGCCCTGTGTGATGACACATCCTTGATTTCAATCGTTCTGAACAAAACTGGCGAAAATGCAGACTGGTTTGCTAGCTAGCACTAAGGTTCAAAGAATCCTGAATGGAACTGGTTCAAGAACCAGAGCAAATCTGGTGAAAAAATTGGGTAAAAGTGAGTTGCTACCATATGTGATGTGGAACTTTAAAGCTCAACTTTCCACACTGTTTTTGAAGTAGGCAAGGTAACTTATTACTGTCCCGACAAGCCTCAAAGCTTCAACAAAGTTGCTAAATATGCTACTGGAAGTTATCGGCAACCACTTTTTAGGTACCCCTCCCATCTGTCACTAGTTGGAGGCTGAGGTATGGTCACATCTTAGTTGAGGTGTGAAAGTTGCTCCACTTTTACACCTTTCAGAAAAGGGAAGACACCTGGAGCATGGCACTCACAAGGTATCATGGGACCAGGAATAAGGTAGATGGACGAAAACTGAAAACGGGGATTTTTGTGTTTATTTAGGAAACTTTTTTCCCGTTTGTCACTTGTAGACAGAACAATGACTTGATGGCAGTCGAGGTCTCCTTGCCTGCTGATCTTATAGCCTCGTTAACTTGGATACTGCTGCATGTGTCTAATGTTACTAGACATTGGTTCCAGACAGATTACACCAGGTACTGTATTGAATTTGACAATGTTGTACCAAGTCACCGGATTCCTTCCGCATCCTCGTCATCGACATTTTTATCTGAGATCGAGTCTTGTCCACTCAAAAGAATGAGCTTGTGATTCTTCTTGTATTTTTCTGCTGATGTTTATTAACTGGAAACTGGAATACCTACTGCATGGTGACACTTCTAGAAGATGCTACGGTCTTTATAACAAGTATCTTTTATCAGTATTTTATAACCTTGTTAATTTTATATATCCACTTTACCTTGCGTTCCAATCTGGTATGTTTACTGATATCTAGGTTTCAGAGAACTGTGCTGTATGTTCTGTACTGTGTGCTTGTCCGTGTGTTCTTTTCAGCGTGAGCTTTCCTTTTTTCTTTTTTTAATGCGTGTTCATTGAATTTGGTTCTCGGTTACACTGTGGTTATTTTATAGCTACAATATGAAATTATTATTTTTTCTTTTGTATTTAATGTCAACTTGTGGCATGACTTTGAAATAAAACAGGAAAACCTTTTCTGGGTTTGTCATCATTATTTTTTATCTTTATTAGACCAGGAAGTCTCTCGAGGTACATTATCTCTTTATCTCTTTACAAGAGACACCTGACCAAAGTGGCAACGTAAGGTAGGTATCTGGGGCTTGAGATACTTTTTTCTTTGTTTATGCACTGGTTAATGTAACTTTTAAAACCAAACTCATCCAAAAAATTTTACCTGCACCAAAACATTTCTACTGCACCATTTGATGTATTTGTCCTTGCATACAGAGCTGAGAGTGATGTGCACAGCTCCAATTTTATGTGCATCACCTACAGATGCACGTGGTTGCGCTGGACTGATGTAAAAAACATGTTGTGTGGATGGTAAACCCATGCCTGAATTCCTCTATAGTATATTAGTATTATGTTATCGTGGATAAGTGACTGAGTGATGAAGTTAGACCACTGGTCAGACTGAGTGATGACATGAGTGTTAGTGTTTCCCCAATGGCTGTTGCTCTTTCTAAATGAATAGGCACTGACAGTCCTGTACACGCTGTGGGGGGTGTTTGTGTACACCCATACTGTTTATTGACTGCTGTTGTTTTTCTCCATTACTTCCTTAGGGATCAGCGCTGTAAGAGCAACAACTCTGTAACTGAGTGAATGCTGCCACTTCCTGTTTAAAATTAAAAGCCCTCTAGCATTTCACACACAGTCCAGCCAATTACTAGGTTTTGACCAGGTCCTGTTTACCACTTATCCAGCTGGACAAGTGAGTTAGTAGATTTATCAACTTGGTGTGATGTTTCACTTGCCCCGAGCAATCTGGCAATCGTTATTGTAGAGCCGTGAGGTTGAGACTGATGGGAATGTTGTTAGTTTTGCAGGTATTCAGTGGTTATACAAAAGTACTGGACAGCTCTGAATTTTGACCTGATGATGGCACAAGATGGGCCTTGTTGTTTATCCAAAGAATGTTGCTGTTAAAAATTTAAATGAAAATTTTCAACACTGTGAGAACTGCAAGCACATTTTTCTTCATCAAGTTTGTTTTAGGGTGTAGGCTGAGGTCTTAGAACCTGGACACATGAAACCAAAACCATCTGCATGGCAAGATACCACCAGAGGTAAGTGAATAAATGTCCATTCTGTGAGCTGACCCTTTAAACAGGGTTTCTCAAAAGTCATTTAATAGTTTTGAATTTGAATTTGTGTCAAGATGGTGTCACAAATCTTTAAGCCTACTACTTTACTGTCTTTATACTTCAAACTTGCTCTTACCTGTTTGCAAAATGTAGATTAACCTAACTCACTATGATAACCATATTCCTACACAAGACCTGCAATCAAATCAAGTTTTTATCATGTTACCATACATCTGTGCAAGGCAGAAACAGAGCACATTTCTCTGCGATTTAGAACTAGAAAAAGATCATCTGTCCAAAGATCAGTGTTAAATTTGGTGATAAATGATCTTGAAAAGGTTAGGGTTAGGGTTAGGGTTGTTAAATTATCTTGGTAACAGAGCAACAAGTTGAAGTCATGACCTGGGTCAGCTCCCTCTCCACCTCCCAGCTGGTCTCTGTAACTGCCACCAACAGGCTCCACCTCCCGGCTAATCAGGATCAGCAGCCATGAATGAGATGCAGCGAGAGAGTCTGGAGAGCCCCGTCAACTGACCCAGACATCAAACTGTAACTGGGCCGCAAACACTCACCCGTGTACAGTGAGTACAGGAGGCTTGAACCATGAGAGAACGAAAGTAAGGTGAAGACCACAGGAAAAAGATTTTTAAACAAAGAAGGACAGACAAAGCAGGAACAGACAGAAAGACTCCATGCTGCAGTGTATTCTCTAGACCTGTACCACCTTGATCATCCAGTCTGTCAACTCCTGGGCCTCCTCATACCTTCACAAAAAACGCAGGACTGAAAAGACCAGGAGAAAGACGAGGGGACCTTTACGAAGTGTGTCGAGAGGTAAGAGGGTCAGGTGAACGTGGGTCGAGGCCGAGGGCTTAGCCTGCAGCCAGGCCACAGTACTGCTGCTGCTCTGCTGTAGCTTTAGGCCAAAGCCTCTTACTGCTCTTCAGCCTGTGCCAGCACTTTAAAGGAGCCATTATGTACCCTTCAAGTAAATACAGTAGGCTGTGTGTGTTTGTTGCATTTAGTTTGGATGCTTTCTCCCAATTTAGGCTCCAGTAAAGATTTCCTTTTCTCTGATAAGACAACACCTCTAAGTGTCCCTGTGAGAGAATTGATTCAACGCAGCAGCAGAGAGAATTGGCACACCAGGAAGAATGAGTGTCACATAATTGTTACATTAAAAGATGTTAGGAGGAACTATAAAAGTGAATAACAATCACATGAATGAAAGCGTACAAGTAAGAATCAGGGGAATAAGGAGACAACAAAACTGAGGTTAAACCAATAGGATAGATGTAGACAGGACAATCTTGAAATTGTTCTATTCTGCTTTCACTGAGTCCGTTAATTTTTTTAATTTTTTTTTTTTTAGTTTTTTTTTTTTTTAGCATTGCTGGTTTGGTAATCTGAGCCTTAAAAACAAGAACAATTTGGAAAAAGTGGTCAAGTTGCACTGTAAGATCACTGGTGTTACTTATAATAACCTACAGCATCTGTATAAAGAGAGGGTCGCTGCCAAAGCTCGGTCGATTGTCTCAGACTCTCAACATCCCCTCCATGTTGAGTTTCAGATGCTTTCATCAGGGCGAAGGTTTTGCCTCCATAAATGTAGTGCAAAGCGTTACAGATCGTCCTTTGTCCCATCTGATATCCCTTATCTTAACCAGCAGTAACCTCTAATTGTCCATGATTTACCCCTGACAGTGTGTGAGGCTGGATTCTGTGTGTTTGTATGGTTATTATTGTCTGTTGTGTTGTACTCATGATTACTGGCTGTATCTCAAATTGCCCCTCGCGGACATTTAGTTTACCTTACCTTACCTTATCCTGCCTTACCTTACCTTACCTTACCTTAAAACAGGACAGCCTGACCAAAAAAGGATCTTAACTCAAGTAGGGCTGCATTATCTGCCTTTTCTTTCAGATTAATTGTACACTCTATGATATGTAATAAAAATAGTACAAAAAAACATACCCATCACAACTTCCCACAGCCCAAAGTGATGTCTTTAAATGTCTTGTTTTCTTCGAACTAAAGTCCAAAACCTAAAGATACTCATTTTACAGTGAATCATGATGATGAAAAACAGCAAATCCTCTCATGTGAGAGGCTGGAAACAGATTTTTCTAAACAATTTCTGCTTGAAAAATGACTCAAACTCAAAATATAGTTCCCAATTATTTTTCTGTATTCTGTATTTTTCTATTGTTTCAGCCCTAAACTCAAGGTCCAGTCACTTGCCTTTTATGGAACTTTCAGCCATATCTTCGTAAAAATGAGACACACTAAAAACTCCAGAAAAAGTTAGGATACCTGGGAGGGGTTCACACTACACTCTCCGAGGTCAAGCATGAACTTTGTAGACACTGTAGCAGCTAAAAATATTAACTCAAACAGGGCTGCATCAATCTGTTGTTTATTTTTCAGATTATTCATACACTGTATTAAATGTCAAAAAGTCTTATTCTCTTCAAACTAAAGCCCATAACCTAAAACTAATTCAGTTAAAGTGATAAAAAGCAGCCATCCCTCACATTTAAGAAGCTGAAGATAGATGATTTATTACAAATTTTGCTTGAAAATTCACCCAAACAACTGATTATCAAATCAACGCCTTATAAAAACCAACACCTGAGAGTTGCACAATCCAATCAGTGATTTTACATAAGCAATGTTGACCGTGCAATGACGGTAGTATTATGACACACGTCCTTGTTTGGCTTTGGCCTCACTGTGCTGCAATTGAGCTCAGAAAATGTGTATTAGCTTCAGACAAAGCACCAGTTCAGTACAACCAGTCCAAACTTCTCCCCTGAGCTGCAGTGTTAACATCACTGATAATTATCCTAATACTGGTCCAGTGCATCAATTTTGTTTAAACCTCTATCAGCTGAATGTCTGGCATGGTAACCGCTGTTTTTCTCCTCACATCAAACCCCTCGTCAGATTGCTGGAGTTTTGTTAAAGGAATACGTTTGATATTTTGGGAAATGCACGTCTGCTCTCTTGCAGCGAGTTAGACGAAAAGATCTATACTAGTGTTTGTGTCTGTGTAAAATATAAGCCTACAGTTATCATAGCTTAGCATAAAGACTTGAAGCAGGGGAAACAACTAGCATGGCTCAGTCCGAATGTCAAAGGAATCTGCCCATGACCTGTTAAAATAGAAGCTGTCATCTTTACACTTTTTCTTCAACAAATGCGATATGTCATGTTAATCAGTGAGGTTAAGAAGTGGTGGTAAGCAGATTTTTCTTTTCTGCCTTTGGAGAAAGCCAGGCCAGCAGTTTCCCCCTATTTCCAGTCTTTATGCTAAGCTAACTGGCATGGCAGTGGTATCAAATTTAACTCTTGGTAAGAAAGAACTTAAGTTTAAAAGTAAGCAGTTACGTGTCACATCAGATATATTTAAAGAGAGTTTGGATCATTTGATGTAAATAATTTGTGTTGTCAAACATTGATGCTTTCAGGTTGACAAATACCACCGCTTTCTTATGTCCCTCGCGTGTAATACCAACGTCAGAAGTGCCCGTCCATGGCTTTATGAAAAGCACCCTTAAACGTGTGTATGACTCACATATGTCTCTTGGGTGAAACTCGTAGCACATGGTTAAAGTTTTCAAACTGTTGTTACTAATGTAAAGCACCAAAAACTACTCGGTTAAGATTAAAAAAAGGTCATGTTTTGGGTTAATATAAGTACACCTCACTGACAGACGTTTTCTCACAGGACATGAACAGCGGTGTCCTGGGTTAAAGTGTTTGTTTGACCCATCCACCAACCATCCCAACAGGGCCGTCATAGTGGGAGGAAAAGTGGGACTGGTTACTTTGGGCCCCAGTGAGAGGGAGACCCACAAAAAGTCTGG